CCGATGTGGGCCGGCCGGTGGGTATTCACTGCTGTTTCCTCCTCCCCCGGCAGCACACCTCCAGGATGAGAGCTGTGAGTGTCAGCGACTCAGCCCAGTCGAGTGGGCAGCGATCGGGCGCTGAAGCGTGGAGCGGTGCAGTGCAGAAAGGGAGGGACATTACAGTGGACAAACTTGGTGCTGATTGGTGTCGTTGCGCAACTGCCGGTGGTGATAAACAGTGATCGAATTTCTAATCTGGGCGGTTGTGAGATCAGTGTTTTCATCGAGAGTGATTAAACGATAACAATATTATGTATCACTGAAATAGCTGCGCTAAATTGGTTTCTAGTTTAAATAATACCAGCCAAAGGCATTGCAAATGACAAAGCAATGCAGACCATTTCAGAAATTGTTGATCGTACACGATCCATAATTGGGTGCAATAACCTTGCTTTCAATAATTTGGAGTTCTTGATTCAAATAATAATTTTCTTTGATAAAATAATAGTAATTAATTCAAAATTATATGGGGACACAACATGGGGACACAAAATGGGTACACAAAATAAGCATTTATGTCCATTCGTCCATATAAAAACTTGAGGTACTAATTTATTCATTTAAGTTTTTTCTTAGTGAACTCATATGGCAGTTGTTTATACAGGGTAACTTTTTGATAAATCTAACGATCCGATAACGCATTTATTGACTTAGGCTCTCCCGTGTCCCCGCTGTTCCCCTTCTAACCGCCCTCTGTGCCCGTCTCTGCAGCGCCAGGCGTGTCTGCTGCTGGCGCTGGTCGGCGCCGCGACCTGCCAGGTCACCGACCGACCCACCACCACCACCACGCCGGTGCCCATCCTGAAGCAGGTCAACCGCGTCAACGACGACGGCTCCTACACGTACGGCTACGAGGCTGCCGACGGATCCTTCAAGCTGGAGACGCGCTCCGCCAACGGCGAGGTCACCGGAAAGTACGGCTACGTCGACTCTGACGGCGTCCAGCGCGTCTTCGACTACAACGCCAGCAAGGGCGCCGGCTTCGCGCCCAGCTCCGAGCTGATCCCCTCGCCGCCGCCGGGCCTGCCGCTCACCTCCACCAGCCAGGTGGCGCCCGGAACGTTCGTCGGGGATATCGACGTCGCCCTGGACGGCTACAGCGAGGACCTGGACGAGGATGGCTTCGTCGACCCGATCCCGACCGAGCTGCTGCAGGGCCGTCCGCAGACGCGTCGCCCGGCGCCGCAGCCCGCCGCCCGTCCCGCGCCGCGGCCCGCCGCCCCCGCCCGCGCCGCCGCTCCCGCCCGGCAGGCCGCCCCCGCCCCCGCCCCCGCCTCCTCCGGTCTGCCGGCCGGCACCCTCCGTTTCGACGGCGCCGCCCCGCAGCTGCTGCCCCAGCCTCAGCCTCAGCCCCAGCAGTTCGCCGCCCGTCTGCCGCAGCAGCCGCAGTTCGCGCCGCAGCAGCGCTTCGTGCCCCAGGGCGCGCCCCAGTTCGCTCAGCAGCCTCAGCAGTTCGCGCAGCGGCCGCCCCAGTTCCCCCCGCCTCAGCAGTTCGCTCAGCAGGCTCGCCAGCTGCCTCAGCAGCCGCAGCAGCCTTTTTTCAACGTGCAGGGCTTCGACGCCAATAACGGTGTGATCCGGGGCTTCCGCGCCAACTAACTATCATACTTGTTCACATGCGTCTATCGCTCGCCTCATCGGCCGGCTGCGGTCTGTCTGCACCTTCCGGGGATAACTTCCTTCGGCAGTGGGCAGGCGGCCCCGAGCTGGCGCCCTTGTTCCAATCATTCGCCCCGCTCCCCATCGCACGCCGCTATGACGTGTGTCAGAGCTCTCTGTGGGGTGATTCATGCTATTGCACATATTCTTATTGTGTGTCTTGATGTATGTTACCAATGTGAATATACAAATGTTCTAAACGCATAACGGTGCATTGTTCTAGCGACGTTTATATAATAGAGAAGCTGGGGCAAGGTTAAGAGTATAAATGGCAAGCAGATTCACATGCAATCTGGAACAGTGCTCGTTTCACGGGCAGTTTTGAAGCCGTTAACGGTATACTTTTCAATTGTTTCCAGCTCGTTTGAGATTTGCAGGATCCATTCAACAGCTAAAACGGTCTGAACCGCTAAGGACGAGATGTCAATGTACTTTTGTGAAACAATTCATTCGGCTGCAAACGAGCACGTAAGTGGACAATGATGCATAATTGGTCAACGTTCACGTTAATTGAAGAAACCACATTAAGTGGCTTTCCGCACACTCAAAACTTCTCCCCCTCTCTCTCCCTCTGTCTCTCTCTCTCTCTCTCTCTCTTCCTCTCTCTCTCTCTCTCTCTCTTCCTCTCTCTCTCTCTCTCTCTCTCTCTCTCTCTCTCTCTCTCTCTCTCTCTCTCTCTCTCTTCTATCTCTCCCCTTTGAACCCCCGGAGGACCACCCCACGCAGTTCGCGAAGGACACTCACCTGAGTTCTCACAGTGTCCGACGACCCAGATACGACCTCAGATGAGGTAATTAGTAACTGGAGGAGCGAGCGGCTGGCCAGCGCCCCGGGCTGCCATCCACTTTTACTTTCATTCGGAACTCTGCTGCCAAGGTTAGACCCCGCCCCGCCCCGCCCAGTTCGGTGTCGGCTGCGTCGGCCGGGTCGATTTGAATTAGGGATGGGGAAAAAGGGATGGGGACAGAGAGGCAGGGCAGAGGTGACGGAGTGACAGAAGGGAGAGGACAGTGTCCAGAGAGAGAGAGAGAGAGAGAGAGAGAGAGAGAGAGAGAGAGAGAGAGAGAGAGAGAGAGAGAGAGAGAGAGAGAGAGAGAGAGAGCGAGAGCGAGAGCGAGAGCGAGAGCGAGAGCGAGAGCGAGAGCGAGAGCGAGGGCGAGAGCGAGAGCGAGAGCGAGAGAGAGAGAGAGAGAGAGAGAGAGAGAGAGAGAGAGAGCGAGAGAGAGAGAGCGAGAGAGAGAGAGCGAGAGAGAGAGCGAGAGAGAGAGAGAGAGAGAGAGAGAGAGAGAGAGAGAGAGAGAGAGAGAGAGAGAGAGAGAGAGAGAGGTGACTGTTCCGACATATCACCGGATCGATAACAGACTTTCCAAGTCCGGCATCAGCTACACACTGAGATAAGAGCCATCCTATTGGCAGCCTTCGATAGGATGGTATCAGCTCTGCGGCACGACACCACGACACCACGACACCACACCCGTATCGTATCACGACACGAAACCGTCCACCGACCACACCTCGGGGCAGTCTGACACCGGGTAACGTCTAATGGACCGTCGGGCTTGGAACTGATTGTGGGTGCGGGTATCTTAGGTTGTGATGCACCGGGAGACGGCCGGTGAATCTATTAGTGCGTTTCGCTATGTTAGATGTAACTGTAGGGTTCGTAAGAACCTGCAGTTTCGCACAAAAGCACACAAGTTATCCTATGTATCATCGTATAAACACCGAATGGAATTCATCCCGTTGCCATTCCTCCTATTAATTCGAGCGGTATTGATTATAATCAAACACCCACGGCAGGCTTCACTGACTGATTGCCGTAAACAGAAGGCTATCAATTGTTTTCGGGCCACCGAGTGTAGACCCATCGTACGGGTGACCTACTCACGGCTACCTGTTGCGGGCACGGCGAGTAAAAAGCCGTACAAAAAGTGATTACTGTCGGGTGACTGTTGGCAGCCGGTGAGTGAATAGCTCGGTGCGGTGGGGCTGGTCAGCGCCGGGGTATTATATCGCTGAGCTCGGTATGGATGGTCCAATCTGCTGGCTACGCCCCGTCATGTAAACAATCCATTGTTGAGAGCATAACAACAGCGATCTTGTCATGTCATTCACTGAATGACTATCATTTCGGTTATCAATACCTCGAGCTAATTGCACTTAGACTTTGTAGTTTTCCACTCCCCGTACCTACTCATGCATAAAGTACCTACGAATTATTTTCGCATGATCAATTATGTATATCTTTTCGAACATCGAAATGCATTGAATCATAAAATCGTTGATAATGCTACCTACCTACCTATAAATCAGTGGTCGGCAGGTCCTCCGGGGTCGTGCCCCCTTTTTTGGCGCCAGGCAGGGCCATTACCCCCACCTACCAGACCCCATTGGTGATACAACCAAGGTTACTGAAATTCCATACTTTTCCGTGACTCTTTGGGTACCATATCTACGAGAAACCGCAGGCCCCCTCCCCTGCGGTTCTCGCAAATATCTCAAAAACGTTGGCACGGAGCGCCACCATTTTGGAACATTTTATCATACATCGTTTCTGCACATGTTGTGAATATTTCAGACCAGAGTCACTCAAGGTCAGGTCACCAGATCACTTCAAGTGACCTCACCTCACCTCAGTAAGGACTGCAACGCCTGCTTTAGCTGCATTGAGTGACAGATCTCTTTCAAGCTTTCAGGAATTGATAAAGGCAATAACATGTACAAAATTTGTATCTCGGAGATTTGATGTCGGTGACCAAAGTTCAGGTCAATTTCACGCCCTCTCCCATTATCAATGGGAGAGGGCGCAAGCCGCAAAGTCAATGGTAGAAAATTGAAAGGCGCCTCCTTTGGACCAGTGTCATTCCTAACACTGTGACACTCTTATTTACAAGTAAACATGACCGCTGAACCGGAATATTGCACCCGTAACCCCACTGTATGTCCCTGAGGTCATTTCAGGTCATGAATGGTATCTAACAGCTATTCGCTAATAACTTTGATAAAGGCATCTCAGAGCGATGAAAATGCCTTAGATGTGTTCAGCTCGACGATACGGATCGACTGATGTGCAACAAAACCTTCGATGCTTCTCGACGGGAGGATAACGATGCTGATAAAAGTGAGCTCTTGCAAGTTTTGAGTGAAAAGTTATTTAAGAAAAACTATCAGCAAGCAACGTACATTTTGGCAGTTTTTGTCTCCTGCAGGCTAAACCATCTTCGGTTGAATCTGAGGGCAGGCATCAGAAAAAAAAAAACGTTAAGAGAGCTATCGAATGCGTTTTTCCGCAGCGGTGTAGCTCTATCCTTTCCTGAGCTATAGGCCAGTTTATCGAAAATTGTCAAAGGTTGACCTGGAAATTGGCGAAATTTTACGTTCGATGACCTCTGGTGACCTGACCTTTGATTTGACCTAAAAGGTGACCATAGATTTTCTTCATCATTTCTTATGCTCTTTCGATCGCCGACTACGGCGTTTCGCTAGTGACCCAGGAGCCAAGTTAATAGGGGGTGTTCAACCTCCATCTCCAGCAGGGCGTGGAAATCCAGGAGCCCCAGCGGGGCGCGGGTTAACCCCCATACGTATAGGTGTAGCGGGTATTTTTCGAGAATAGATCACATTAAAAGGGTCGGATCACGAAAAAAACTGTACCATCGAGCCGATCATTTTTATCTGTCCTGAAAATGGCATGACCTTAACCCGAATAACCGTTGATTTGTGAGATCTTTCTTGAGATCATGGCAGGCCACAAAATCTCACCTCAAGAAGTTACAGCAGGACCCGATTAACTCGGCAGTTGTTATTGACCTATGGAAGGTCACCCAATGACCAACGACCTTTAAATTGGGTAGCAGCGGCTGCTTATCTTCACGGGCAACACGCTCAATTTTCTGCAAAGCTCCAGCTCAGAGACCGAGATGCTCAGGTCAAGGTGCAATGGACGACTCCCCTCCCTTGCGTTAGTGACTGTGAAAACGCCAATAGACGAGCGCCGGCTAGTACATGACAGTTACTTTCCACGACTGTACGGAATGGTGAGCAGCTACATGAAAATTGGCATGCGCCAGCTAATCAGTTCATGCTTTGTGCGTTTGACCTCGACTAATCTTTGATTCCTGGGGCACAATAGTTGCGATGTTTGTCCCATCAAGGGAGCCATTAATTCTAAAAAAGATGAGGCTTTCTCAGAGGCCCTCATTACCCCCCGCCGAAGGGCGCCATTACCCCCAAAGGGGGCATGCCCCACCATTTGCCGACCCCTGCTATAAATTGTCCCTAAAAACATTGTGCTACAAGTGCAGCTAAAGCTCTATCATCGTGTTCCTTGCACACTGATCGGCGCTGCTAGCGCTCATTTATCTGCACCCGGCACGATAGGGACCTAAACCGCCTCGCCGTATATCTTCAACCATCAATAGCACGTCACTCTCAACCACTCAGAGTTCCAATAAAGCTGACATCCTTCGCAGCCTTGGCGACATGTCTGGAGCACTTGGCCGGGCATAATATGATCTCCGATAGGTGATCCTCTAGACGAGGGCAGTGGTGGAGAAACAAAGGCGTGTGCGGCGCGTATTCGGCGCTCCTGCGGCGATCGTGACGCAAGTGACCGATGGTGCGGCCACACCTGCGCCGCTGCCGCGAGCTATGGGGCAGGCGGAGCCAGGTGAAGCTATTAGGAACCAGGAGGAACCAGGTGGGAGCCAGTTGGTCTGCTAAGGGGCTGGTGGACCAGCTAAAGCTATTTAGAGCCAAGGGGAGGAGCAAGGTGGGACCCGCGAGAGCCAGGGGAGCTAAGACTAAGAGCCAGGAGGAGTAGAAAGGACTGCCATGCAGTGGGAGTCAGTGGGAGCCAGACGGATCCAAGTGGGAGCTAATATGACACAATGCGAGCCAATTGGGAGCCAGGTGGAGCCAAATGAAGCCATATAGAGCAATTAGAAGCCAGGGGTCATGTGGATTCAGGTGGAGCCAGATGGAGCTATAATGAGCTAGGAGGAGCCAGTGGAAGCCAGAAGGAGCCAAAGAGCCAGGAGGAGCCAGGAGCTACGGTGGTCCTAATAAGGACCGGTTGGAATTATAACAAGTTGTGCGACTTGATCGTCTTCGGTGTCCTACGGGCACAATTTAGGCACTGGCTCCTGCATAAAATATCCTACACCTAAGCAGGATATTCGACACACGATCGGAATTTTTGGCTGCAACATAATTACATTACCTGGGTATATAGGTACCACAATGAATGAAGCTTTTTACATACATCATGCATCACATATTATCCCAGACCTGCCGAAGTTAAAACACATCCTAAATGTATGCACACTGCACAGTGCATATCGTGCCCCGTGGCGTGGAACCAGTTAAATCATCTACTTAAACCACATGAGACGGCATCCCGTGCTGGTGCACTGTACAGTCGGCTTACTTACTGCTCTACGCCTCTCCTCCCGGGCACGTGGGACGGCGCTAATGAAGTACGTTTGTACGGTAGTCACGGCCGTGGGAATAACCAGGGCGAGCCTTATTGTAACTCACGCCCAGACCCGTGACCTTGACATGTCAGCGCAGGCCGAATTCGGGACGGACGTGCAGCAGCTACTGAAACAGAGGCAGTCAGCGCACACCTGGCTCCGAAAGGTACCCAGTGAGTGGCGTGTATTGCCTCGGCAGCCGTGGGAACGTGTCGGCACTCGGGATTGGGAACGAATGAGACGAAGGCTGATTATGTTGTCAAAGTCGGTAAATTGGGCTCGGCGACGGAACAATAGATGGCCATCGATGTCTGTGTGATCAATGATTTTGATTGACTATCGGTGATCGGTAGGTAATGATTTATACGATTAGCTCACTTTTACTTTTAAATTAAGTAGGAAAAAGTGGGTGCTGCTTGATGAGTGCTTACCGTCTTACTATAAAATATCATGCAGCTAAGTACTTATGAAAATGACGCGTCATTATGGAAGTTACAAATACAATAAATAAGGAGACTCGAGCCCCCTGCCCTCCCGGAAGCAAAATTGCGTTCCAGCATCACCGAAGGCCTTCGCTGGGTGTGTTTCGCACTGTGAATAATGTAATTATATAATTCGCGAATGTCTCTCACGACGCAAATAGCCCAGGAAGCGTTTCAGTTTAGGCGCGCTCGGCGCGTATCCTGCGGCCTTGGGGCCAGGTGTGGTTGGGAGCTGGCGACACTTGTGACGTGGGCGGCGCCGGATATACCTAGCTATACGGACACGGATGAAAGGCTGCTGTGAGAGTGTCCGGTTATACGAGGGACGCTGTAAATGAAGGAATGGCTGGGTGGGACGGCTGGATTGGATGGAGCCAAGGCGAGAGGACTAGTCATACAGAGTGGGTATACTATTTCAGTTCGCAGTGATATAGGTGTGATGTTCCGTACATCGTATTCCTTAGGATATGAGAGTGAACTGATTGTGTAGAGATGAACTGGCGATTCAGTACGAATCAGTGTCTCAATAGCTGCCCTCGCCCCTCACAGAAGAATAACATCACGAAAAAAATCAAGATATCAGCCGCACCACACAATGCGGTCATTTCACGTCTGATCGCCCTGCTATTCAGACACATTTCGTAAATTCACAGACGACATGTCTCGGATTCCAAGTTCGGCATCGGCATTTGTCCCCGACGGTGAGCTATTACCACAGCCCAGCCGGGCTTGTGACACATTGTCCCGTCTCGAACCCTCCGAGACGGGAGCTGCCAGAGGGGACAGCCGTACTACTCTGTCCTCGTATGAACCGTCCCCGGACTAGAGGCGCTGTCCCCAAACCACCCCCCGATGATAACCCAGATAGGATCCCAGGCATCACTAGAATTCAGGCGTCACAGTGATATACTCAGTTCGCGGTATCTATAGTAGTCTGTGTGTGACACGTGCAACTCCCCGGACAGGCGACTGAACCGTGTCAACAGGTGACCACAAGGTGATCTTATCTGTCCCCGGTGACCCGCCGTAGCCCGAGGCAGCTACATAGCTCAGGTTGTTGATGCCTGCCACTTGACGGAGCGGTCACGCTACCTTAGCGACACCTGCGCCGAGCGGTTACCGGCGCGGGATGGTGAGGCGGAGGAAGGCACACTTGAGTTCGCGCGGATGACTGCTAGATGGCGCAAGCGTCCTCTTCATTCCTTTACCTTATGCTGGCTCTGCGCGGCGGTAATTTAGTGGCCGCCTCTTTTTCGGGTAGTTTGTTGTCAGCGGGCAGATCAGCTGATTGGTACTTGAGCAGCTCTAGTGCGGTATTTACTTGTTACGCTCGGTTTATGTATGTTTTCTATTTGTACTTAGTTTCGCTGGATTAGGCTAGTACTGGGCTAATATTTCTGTTATCCGTATATCCATTGCTAACGATTACGTGTAAGGGATATGTTCATGCATTGCCTTTTATTTTGCGCGTCCTTAAGTACTTGCGCGTAGCCTCGATTGGCGACCTCTAGGAAGCGGCCATGATCGCTCTTTTGACCGTGATCCTCCGTCGAGGATGGAGCTGTGACGCCTGAGCAGAGGCGATATCGTCGGTAAGGGTTCGATTGTATGCATTTTGGCGATTCTTATGACGATTCGTTGCAAATACGTTGTCGTGTCATTTTCGTGTTATATTTTTCGTGTCGTTATTTTATATTTTGTATTCGCAGAAACCGCTACGTTTCGCATCGTTTCGAGGCAGTGGGATGACCTTGACCTTGGGTCATGCGTTGGTCATGATCTGGATCCCCGCGGCCTAAAGTCCAATACAAGAGAGACGGTGCCAACAGCGCGTTTACGGCAGTCACCCAGAGTGAAGCTCAGGCAGCAATAGTTTCGACGTCGCCTTCCTGGTGGCTTCGGCTCAGCTGATCGTCGATTATTCTCGTCGCCGGGAGCTACGAATTGCGATGCTGGTGTGTGGCCGCCAATGCGGACGCGGTTGCCTGCCGCCGTGGGGACTGGTTCCAGGACGGAGGTTCCAGCATCCTAATGTCCCTGCGGCGGCGGAGGTCCGCGTCTGCTGGCGCCTGCTGTCTGGAGGCAGCTGCTGCTGATGGCAGCCCTTCGTGCTGGATCTGGCAGCCTCAATCATCAGTGAAGAGGTGCCCAGCTGGAGCTGCCACTCACAGTGCAGCAGTGTGATCCGGCCCAGCTCACCCAGCAGTATGAACAGTATGTACCTGGGGCTTGTGTTCGTGGAGTAATGTGCATTGCAGGGAGGCTCTCAGGCTCAGTGCTCAGACAGTTGCATAGGATAGTTGACAACCTCAGACGGGTGAACTTAGTTAGTAAGAATGTGTGCCCTCATATGTGTTATGCTATGTGTAGCAATGAGAGATGATTGATGCTGCGGAGTGCTATATTAAGTGAGGTACACGTTTGCTCAGTGTTACTGGCTGTTTGTAGGTTAAGATAAGCAGAGCCTGCATTTATTTGAATATCCTGTGTTTCCCATACCCTCTGCCTCACGCCTGATCAAGTAATGGATCTTGACAAGCTGTCGAAAGAGGAGCTGGTCAGTGAGCTGAGTAGACGAGGGGAGGATGTGAGAGGAAGGAAGCCAGTCCTGCTGGAGAGGTTGCGTGAGATCTTGAAAGAGGAGCAATACCAGAGTCAGGGAGCCATGAGTCAAGCCAAAGAAGAGAAAGACAACCTACAGGAAGAACATGAGCCAAAGAAGGTAGATGACGACAAGGGTGTTGAGACACAATCAGGATTTGAAGGTGGAGATGCCACAAGTGACAGGCCTGCCTCAAGTGTCAGAACGGCAGCCAGCATGGCCTCTGCCCGGGCCATGGAAAGAGCGAAGCTGGCTGGGCTCTCTGCGAAGAGGCAAGCTCTGAAAAAGAAGCACCTACTTGAAGCACAGGAAGCCGAGCTTCGTCGAATGAGGGAAGAGGTTGAGCTTCAAGCTGAGATTGAGGAGTGTGAAGCCCGAGAGAAGGTGTTTGAAGAAATGATGACTGAAGCACAGATGGAGCAGATGATGTTGCAGCCACTTGAAACCTCGTCTCATCCGTTGGAGAAGGAGCCCAAGGCTGTACTTCAGCTACAGGAAGTTGCAACAAAGCCGCAAGTAACTGTGCAAACAGGGCTAAAAGAAGTTGCAGCAAAGCCGCAAGTAACTGTGAAAACAGGGCAAAAAGAAGTTGCAACAAAGCCGCAAGTAACTGTGCAAGCAGGGCAAAAGGAAGTTGTAGCAAAGCTGATGGAAGTAACTGTGCCAAAGTTGCAAGGAGCTGCAGCTCAACGACAAGAAAAGAAGTCAAATGCTGCATCTCTGTTGCAGGAAGTTGCAGAAAGGCCACAAGATGCGGCACAAGCAAGGACTGCATCACACAAGCAAGAGGTGATTGCAAGGTCACAAGAATCTGCCTATTCACATGAAGCAACAGAGCCCATGAGACATGACATCAGAATGGCAAGAAGGCTCCAGCTGCCTGCACTTGACCTGACTGTGTTCAAGGGAGATTCTTCAAAGTACAAGCCATTCTTGAAAGCCTTCGAGGCGAACATTGCAAGTAATGTGGATTCGGAGGCAGAGAAGCTGTTGTACCTGCTCAAGTTCACGCAAGGAAAACCACATGATATTGTGCAGACATGTGTCCACCTGCCAGAAGAAAGGGGCTACTTGCAAGCAGTCGAACTGCTGAACAGCAGGTACGACACTGGGGTTTATGCAGTGACCAGTCTGATCACCCAGATGCAGAACCTGCCAGCTCTTCGGGCAGATGATGCGGAAGCTCTGGATGACCTCAGCATTTTCCTGAGAGGATGTTTGAATGCCCTTGAGACCCAGCCTCATGGCTTGCGCTCGGTTGATCCTAAAACCATCTGCAAGCTGCTTGAGAAGCTGCCCCACCACATGATTGAGAAGTGGAGACGACTGGTGGATGACATCGAGCACGTGGAGAGACGCCAGGCGAACTTCAGAGACCTGGTTGGGTACATTGAGAAGGAGGCTAGGATAGCCATGAACCCATCCTATGGACGACAGGTCCTGGGATCAAGTGGAAGGCCCAGACTTCATGAAGCCAGGAAGACAGAGCCACGGGCTGTCAGGAAGACAGCTGTGGGCAAGACCCTAGCTGGGAGCATCCAGTCTGTGGGCAATCCAATGAAGTGCTACTTCTGTGAGGGAATGCACAAGACCGAATCCTGCAAGAAACTCCAACAGAAGACACCAGAGGAAAGAACCACATTTGTTAAGCAGAATGGCCTCTGCTTTGCTTGTTTGCAGCATGGGCATCGATCCAGATTCTGCAAAGAAAGAAGAAACTGTGAGAAGTGTGGAAGAAGCCATCCGACAGTGCTCCACATTGACAAGCCAGAGAGCCCTACAGTGACTTCGGGCCACCTGGCACCCAGCAGGACAGGAGGCGGCAAGCTGCAGGTTCTCAAGGTACAGGTATGCTTTGGTGACCTCAAAGTGACCACAAATGCCTTTCTCGACAGCGGAAGCACGCACTCCTTCATATCGAGTCATCTGCTGGATGAGCTGGGATTGAAGCAGCAGAAGAGGACCTCGCTCAAGGTGTCTACCATCAGTGGAGAGCAGACAATGAACAGCAGCATCATCCCTGGACTGCTCATTGAAGACCTGGACCAAGGCAATGTTATGGAGCTGCCCCCGTTGTATGTTCTGAGCCGCATCCCTGTCGTGACTGATGATGTGCCTTCCCAGGAAGACATGCAGAGATGGACGTATCTGCAAGAAGCCGGTGTGACCCTGAGGACGATGGACGCTGGAGAAGAGGTCGGTCTCCTGATTGGAGGCAATGCAGGCGGCGTGATGGAACCGCTGCAAGTCTGCCCCAGCCAACACGGAGGACCGCACGCGATCCTGACCAGGTTCGGCTGGATCCTGGGCGGACTGAAGAACGAGAGAGGCAGATGTCAAGTGAATCGCATCAAAGTAGACATGAATGACCAGATGTCTGAAGAATGGTTTGAAAACAGAGCTGAGACAAGAAAAGGGCTTTCAATAGAAGATCTCAGGTGGTGCAACCAAATGGAAAACGGCTGTATCAAGAAAGAGAAGTACGAGATCACACTGCCATTTCGGGACCAGACGCCTCCTCTCGAGAACAACCGAAGTGTGGCAGAGGGGCGCCTGGAACTGCTGAAGAGGAAGTTGAACAAGGACGAGAAGTACGCGGAGGAGTACATCGCTCGTATGAACAAACTTCTCGAAGATGGGCATGCTGAAGTGGCACCTGAGGCTGCAGACGACTCAAGGAGGTGGTACCTTCCCCACTTTGCGGTGAGGCACCCGACGAAGGACAATCTTCGCGTCGTCTTCGATTGTGCAAGCAAGTATCGAGGCACCAGTCTCAACGATACGCTGCTCCAGGGCCCCGACCTGACCACCCCGTTGGTGGACGTTCTGATTCGTTTTCGTCTTAACCCTTGCGCATTCACCGGAGACATTGAAGCCATGTTTCTGCAGGTCTCCGTTCCAGAAAGTCAGAGGGATTACCTGAGGTTCCTGTGGTGGCCGGAAGGAGTTACCAGCAAGCCTGCTCGCGAGTACCGGATGAAGGTCCACCTGTTCGGAGCGACATCATCGCCCAGCTGCGCCAACCTCGCGCTCCACCGCGCAGCGGAAGACAACAAGTCCCTGTCAAAGGAAGCAAGCAAGACGATACGAAGTAACTTTTATGTTGACGACGTCCTTAAGTCTGTGCAGGACGACGAAGCTGCCATCAAGCTGCTGAAAGAGCTGAAGGAAATGTGTGCTCTTGGGGGATTTAAGCTGACGAAGTTCAACAGCAACAGTGTCAAAGTCCTTCAATCGGTTCCTCAACCGGAGAGAAGCAAGCAGGTGAAGGATCTGGTCCTCGGCTCTGACCCCTTACCGACAGAGCGCGCACTTGGAGTTGTATGGGATCCGAACACAGACACCATCGGCTTCAGCGTGGACATGAAGAAGCTGAATCAGAAGCCGGCCACGAGGAGAGGATATCTGTCTGCTGCAGCTTCTTGCTACGATCCTCTCGGGCTGGTCGCTCCCTGCGTTGTCAGGGCTCGGATGGTCGTCCAGAAGCTGCATCGACTTGGCGGGAGCTGGGATGAAGAAGTCCCGGAGAGTCTGAGAAGGGAGTGGGAAGAATGGCTGCGGGACCTGAGCCACCTGTCGCTCCTGAAGATCCCAAGATGTCTCTCACCTCTGGGGCTCGACGCGGCGCTTGCTGCCGGAGACAAGATCCAGCTTCATCTCTTCGCTGATGCCAGTACGTCAGCGTACGGGGTTGTGACCTATGTATGTTGTGTCGACGAGGAGACTGACCACGCCAGTTGCAGGATTCTGTTTAGCCGGGCGCGACTGGCGCCGATGAGACAGCTCAGCGTTCCCCGTCTGGAGCTAGCTGCGGCGACGCTCGCCGTGAGGAGCAGCGTGGACCTGCGGAGAGCTTTGGACGTGGACGTGGACGTGCACTTCTGGACGGATAGCACAACCGTCCTCAAATACATCAGAAATGAGAAGACAAGGTTTCCTGTGTTCGTCGCGAACCGCCTCTCAGTGATTCACGATGGCTCGACGGTCGAACAGTGGCACTATGTGCCGAGTGAGTTGAACCCAGCGGACCTCGTGTCACGCGGGATGAAGGCCTCATCTCTCATCAACAGCGACCTCTGGAAGTTCGGGCCCAGTTTCCTGAAAGAGGCACAGTGGCCTGTAAACCCCGATGATGAAGAATGTGTGCACGATGCCGATCAGGAGGACGTAAGGGTTGCTGCGATGAAGACGGGCGAGGAGTCGTCACCCATGGAGAAGCTGACTCGGCACTACTCGTCCTGGAGACGCCTGGTCAGGGCCGTTGCCCTGCTTCGTCGGTTGGTTCGTCGGTGGAAGAATGCTACTCGCGGTGCGACACTCAAAGCGTGCCTGACTGTTGCGGAGCTGAAGGCAGCTGAGAGTGCCATCATCCGAGACATACAAGCTCGGCACTTCAGTGAGGAGCTCTGTGACCTGAAGACAGGGAAACCTGTGCGCAAGTCGAGCAAGCTGGCGCGTCTGGATCCATGGCTGGACGGAGACATGATTCGAGTTGGTGGTCGACTGAGCCAGAGTGCTCTCCCATTCGATTCGAAGCATCCTAAGATTCTTCCAAAACGAGATCCTGCGGTGGATTTGATCGTCACTGCAGCCCACGAACAAGCGGGACATGAAGGGAGACAGCATGTTCTGTCGGACCTCAGGGCATCCTACTGGATACTGGGAGCCAACGCGGCGGTGCGTCGCTGCCTCAGTCGCTGCGTCAGCTGCAAGAAACGCTTGAAGCAGCCGGAGCATCAGAAGATGGCAGATCTTCCTGAAGAGCGAACGGAAGTTGGCGGGAAAGCGTTCGCCCACACTGGAGTGGATTACTTCGGTCCTTTTTTCGTGAAGCATGGTCGATCTCAGGTTAAGAAGTATGGCGTCGTGTTCACCTGCTTGACAATACGCGCCGTTCACTTGGAAGTCGCTGACAGTTTGTCTACAGATTCCTTCCTCTGTGCCCTCCGACGTTTTGTGGCACGTCGCGGAGGCGTGCAGTCTCTTCGATCGGATCAGGGGACAAACTTTATCGGAGCGGAGAAGGAACTTAAGGAAGAACTCAAGAAGCTGAAAGAGCGTGACGGTGAGATCCGGGAAGCAGCCCTCCATCTGGGCATCGACTGGCGCTTTCATCCGCCTCACGCCTCTCACTTCGGTGGCGTGTGGGAGCGCCAGATCCGCACCATTAGGAAGATTCTCACCAGTCTACTCACTCAACAGACCTTTTCACATGAGACTCTGCAGACCATGCTGTGCGAGGTGGAGGCGATAATCAATAACCGCCCGCTGACACCCTTTTCAACTGACGCCTTTGACCAGCCGCCTCTAACCCCGAACCACCTCCTGCTTCTCCGGAGTGTCGTGTTTCCTCCGTCGTCTGCAGAGTGGGACCACCGGAGAAGTTGGAAGCAGGCTGGTTACCTCGCGGAGCAGTTCTGGCGGAGGTGGAGAACTGAATATCTCCCTCTGCTGCAAGAGCGAGGCGGACGGACAACGAGAAGTCGTGTCAACATCAAGAAGGGAGATATCGTCCTGATGGTAGACGACACTGTGCCTCGTGGAGTGTGGCCACTGGGCCGCATAGAAGACGCCTTCACGAGCGCTGATGGACGGGTGCGCTCTGTCAGGATTCGCGCCCGCGGCTCCTTCTACGTGAGGCCGGTCACCAAGGTGGTGAAGATTGTTTGAAGAAGTTTAAGTTTGTTTTGACTGAGACGTCAAAAAGGGGCGGGTGTTGATGCCTGCCACTTGACGGAGCGGTCACGCTACCTTAGCGACACCTGCGCCGAGCGGTTACCGGCGCGGGATGGTGAGGCGGAGGAAGGCACACTTGAGTTCGCGCGGATGACTGCTAGATGGCGCAAGCGTCCTCTTCATTCCTTTACCTTATGCTGGCTCTGCGCGGCGGTAATTTAGTGGCCGCCTCTTTTTCGGGTAGTTTGTTGTCAGCGGGCAGATCAGCTGATTGGTACTTGAGCAGCTCTAGTGCGGTATTTACTTGTTACGCTCGGTTTATGTATGTTTTCTATTTGTACTTAGTTTCGCTGGATTAGGCTAGTACTGGGCTAATATTTCTGTTATCCGTATATCCATTGCTAACGATTACGTGTAAGGGATATGTTCATGCATTGCCTTTTATTTTGCGCGTCCTTAAGTACTTGCGCGTAGCCTCGATTGGCGACCTCTAGGAAGCGGCCATGATCGCTCTTTTGACCGTGATCCTCCGTCGAGGATGGAGCTGTGACGCCTGAGCAGAGGCGATATCGTCGGTAAGGGTTCGATTGTATGCATTTTGGCGATTCTTATGACGATTCATTGCAAATACGTTGTCGTGTCATTTTCGTGTTATATTTTTCGTGTCGTTATTTTATATTTTGTATTCGCAGAAACCGCTACGTTTCGCATCGTTTCGAGGCAGTGGGATGACCTTGACCTTGGGTCATGCGTTGGTCATGATCTGGATCCCCGCGGCCTAAAGTCCAATACAAGAGAGACGGTGCCAACAGCGCGTTTACGGCAGTCACCCAGAGTGAAGCTCAGGCAGCAATACAGGTATTCACGCGAAAACGAACGAAATGCTGTATTTTAGCACTCACTTTCCGAAATAAAAACATCGGAACATGTTCAAGAATACACAGACATTGCACCATTGCCCGCAACCGGATTCAGTGACATTTCAGATGAGTCCCTGCGCACTGCCTAAAACGCCAGTAGGTGTCGCGTCGCGAGCAAACTATCATAGAGGTCAGCACCAGCGACCGACCCTTGCGGTACCCAGTTGAGCTGACGGACTACCGAGAGTACCGAGACAGCGTTAGACTGCCGGTCCCAGCGGGACTGGGCCAGTCATTGACAGATCACATGAAGACATTTGACAGGCTGGATGAAGTTACAACTCTATTGTAAGATTGTCGCTCTCAAAGAAAAAGACATAGTCCTGCTTTATCGACGGATTGAACATCAAACGTTTGTGGAGTGGTCCACAATATTAGAATGCGTTGCGAGACCACAATCGTGAAACCATAATTTGATGTGAAACTAGACAAAAAATAAAACGAATTCCAGATTTAGGTACACTCCAGACCACGAATACCTACCGCAACCCACCTCCTGAAAATATTTTTCAACTTCGTTTAGAGATAAGTAAAAAACGCAAGAAAAATAAACCGAAAGGAGACAGGCTCAAACGAGCTACCGATAACATTGAATTGAACCTTTTCATAGTTTTCAAAGTCGACACTCAACGCCAAACTGTCACAGGTGGGTCGCTCAATGTATGTATCTCAGCAGAAAATTAGCTTTCTCGGTCAACACAGCCCACGCCATAAAGTCGCCGGATCCAAACATGTCGGTCCGAACGGTGAGATGCGAGTCTCCATTCAGTCCTCAGTCGGCGATTGTCTGAACAGACACGACCTCTGGCCCACGGCGGACGAGTCGTCTCCCGATACTACGGTCTCTAAGACAGTAACAAACGGTGGCGGCCGGCGGCGAGGGCCGGACAGACACCAGTCACAGCTCTCCGGCCTGGTCGGTCAGCCGCGCGCCCCTCCAGCCGGCCCCTCAGAGACCAGCGCTGGTCCGGGACGTGGCCGCGCGCCCCTCCAGCCGGTCCCTCAGAGACCGGCGCCGGCCCGGGACGCGGCCAGCCCAGCCCAGCACGGCGCAGCAACAACCACCATCGGGTGCTGCCGGACTGACACGGCCCGCGGCACAAACACATGGCGGCGGTAACTCGGAACACAGTCCCAGTCAGAAACGTTGAGCTTTACTACGGACACTGCTGTGGGCGGGCCGGTTCTGTGGGTCGGATGTCTACTCGATGCACGAAAAGTGGAAATTATTGCTGCGCGCGCGCAGGTTTGGGCGTCACTCTCTACAGACCGCGTGTGGGGCGGCCGGCGGCCTCTGTCGCCGGAGGGAGCGGCCTCTCTCGCCGGCCGAGACGGCAGCCGGCGACACTGCTCCGGCCGCGGCCGCGTATCCTTACGAAAATAGTTCATATGCGTGGCGGCGGCGCGGCGCGGCGTCGTTTCTGGTCCTGCCAGCACCGGTGGCGACCGTGACGCCGCCTATACGGCGACTAGAGCGCCACCGCGCGGAAGAGGGCCATCAGAGCGGCGCTGGCAGCCGCCGCGAAAGGCACCGTCACCAGCCAGGCAATGATGATATTTCTGAAACGGAGGAGATACACCGTGAAACGGAATTCCTCCAGCTGACTGACAAGGAAGAAGTGATTTGAATGGTTATGCTTCTGTTTCATTCGATAATACACAATGTTGTTATTTCTGCAGGACCAAATGTGCCTGAGTTTAGTTACGACATAAAATCGCCGTACCAATGACGATACAATTGCCGATAAATCGAACAAGAAACCGAATTAAAGCAAAGCGAATCCCTTTTTTACAATGCTATCATAAAAGCCTCGTGTATCTAAGGAGACACTGGAAACAACTGAAATCCCAGCGCAAATGACAACCCAGGGCTACCAAACTTCAATCTATCGCCTCCCCCAGTCTCCCATCCATCAGGGCACAAACGTACGTACCTGAACACCTTCCAGTCGACGCCGGCGCGTGTGCTGCGCGCCCAGCCGACAAACACCACGCTGCCCACCTTACAGTGGGTGGTGGAGACGGGCAGGCCGATCTTGGAGGCGAACAGCACCGTGAACGCGGCGCCCAGCTCGATCGTGAAACCGCTGCGGGGAAAAACGACAAGTGTCAATTATAGTGAGGACAGAGACAGAGTGAGTGAGCGTTTGATGAGTCGGGTTAATTCAGACAGCAGGTTTATCGCTTACATAAAGCGAACACGGAGCCTGAATAAAGCACAATTCTGCTGAAAAATTTACGCACTGGTAACAAATGCAAGAGCTGCTGCAGCGCAGGTAGAGAAATTCTATTCAGTTACAGAACATGGTCGATCCATCGCTCTAAAACAGTGCGGGCACCAAGCAGTCGGTGATGCTTCAAATACCATTTCCGTATGTGTCCTACGTGTGGCTAGCGACAGTGTGTGCGGAGGGGGAGAGAAGAGGCCACTGGGTGCAGAGCGTCAGCGGTCACTCACCTAGACGGAGTCAGCTGGGTGAGGTCACGGGGGCAGAGGGTCACTCACCTAGACGGAGTCAGCTGGGTGGGGTCAGTGGTCACGGGGCAGAGTGTCACAACTCACCTAGACGGAGTCAGCTGGGTGAGATCACGGGGCAGAGAGTCACAACTCACCTAGACGGAGTCAGCTGGGTGAGATCACGGGGCAGAGAGTCACAACTCACCTAGACGGAGTCAGCTGGGTGAGATCACGGGGCAGAGAGTCACAACTCACCTAGACGGAGTCAGCTGGGTGAGGTCCTCGCCGATCGTCTTGATGACGCGCCGTCCCCAGACCCACAGGCCGACTGAGATGCCCACCTGCCGAACACAGAGAAGCACTGGTCACCGGACTGCAGGTAAAGCATCTTGGTTAAAACGTCCGAAACTCACCATCGGAGGCTGACTTGACAAAGAGGATGTGACAATGCAACCACCGGATGCTGTTACCTGAAGAACTAATCAGAAATAACGTTACAAGCAAGACAAAAAAAAAGTTTTTACAAACCCGTTACAACCATTTCACTCATTTTCCCATCACAAGTCCCTACTTAAGTTCGAAGCCTCTCCTCCGCTGTTCCGCCTTCTCCACCTTAAGTTTCCATCTAAACCCCCACGCCTCCCACCGTGCCAGGCGGACCACTCACGCCTCCGTAGAACAGAATGTAGACGGGCGTCTCGGCCTTCTGCGCCACAGAGCCCTCCATGAAGATGAGCCACACGGCAATCAGCGGCCCGATGGCGTTGCTGACGTCGTTGCCGCCGTGCGCGAAGCTGCCGAACGAGGCCGTCATCACCTGCAGAGCGGCGAACAGGCGCGCCACCTCGGGCGGCTCCGGACGGGAGAGCTCGCGCAGCTCCCGCGCCGCCTGCCGGAGAGAGGGGGAGGGGTTAGAGGGGCGGAGGGAGGAGGTGCCAGGTCACAGCAGGGTTGAGAGAGAAGAGTAGGTCACATTGGGTTCAGGGCACACTCTAAAGTCTATTGCCACATATAACAGTAGTACTACTGTTATCTGTGCTATTGCAGATGATACAGAATACCTACATAGTATACAAGTGCCATCACCAAGACATTGAACTCAATAGACCACCGAACAGATGCAAGCAACTAAACTCTCAGAATTGTGACACTATTCCGAAACATCAGATTAGATACGCCATTCAGTAACGTGTCGAGGTCACTCAGCAATGGTGGCTCACCATGTCCGAAATAGCTCATTATGTAATGTTTCAACCGTAACTGACGCCGCCTGCCAACGGCCGCTTATCTGTCTCCTGTCAATTCACAGCTCGTGTAGCTATTTCTGTGCTGTCAGTAGCGCGCGATACAGGACATTGACAGCAATCGATACCGAAACGCTGGCGATTTAGACATTTCACGGCCAATCAATCACATTACCTCAGTGAAGGCATCTGTCAGCTAGCATCACTCAATATTGGAATTTCACCGTACCGAGTCATCCTTTCACTCAAAAGAAATTCACCAAAGTGCTTCAAAAGAGGGAATGCGAAGCAGACCAGTGTCTGATAGAGCTCAACGGCTAATTGGGTTGGCAATATCGAAAATATGATCAGTTATCACCCACCGGGGAGTCATCCTAGTGACGAATAGCGTGCCAATACGTGCCTGAAGACTACCGACTCTGACAGCTCAGAGCAAAGACTTTTGACAGTTCAATAGCCCAGAATGCCGGCGTCACGTTCTTTTTTACACCTACAGCACATCGCACCTGACAACCGACCATGGTAACAAAAATGACAGTTCTATCCTGACAGAAAACTCGAGTCGACACCACCGATATATCCCTCCACGACCACTGACAGCCGACAGAGAGTGCTCACGGCGGCGGCGCTGGGCGCTGACTCACGGCTATCGGCAGGACGTTGGAGTTTTTCCGGGCGTCCACACCTCCGCCCACCAGAGGTAGCTGGCTGGCGTTGCCCGGGATCGAGCCGCCGTTCTTCACGGGCGCCGAGCCGTTCTCACTGGATACAGCCGACTGGATCGACTGAAAAGGTGTGAGAGGCGAGGGTAGGCGAGGTGAAGCATCTGGGAGGGAGCTGAAGATGACCAGCCGCAGCGAGGCAATTAACATCACGAATCTCGATAAACTGACAGCATATTCAGTCTCTAGGGTCCATCCACATACACCCTTAAACCACTCTTCCCGAAGTACGATCCATCCATCTGGAACCCACCTATCATCCCCCTCCGTCTCCTTACCGGCACCTGTAGAGTGGTGGCCGCGATGTAACCGTTGTTGGCCGCCGTCTCTCCGTTGAAGGCGTAGGTGGCGGCGGCGCCCTGCGGCCGCGCGGCCGCCTCCTCAGAGGGACTCAGTGTCTGACTCAGCTTCTCCATAGAGATGGTCGGCGTCGGACCCTTGGACACGTCCGGGCTGGGCAGCCGAGACGTCTCTGCCGGAACGACCACGGTGGAGTTACGAACTCTGCGTACATAACGATCGTTATAAGAGTCGTACAAGGTCCGGTGTGCTGAATGGGTTCAATGCATAATCACGCCACGCTTTGACAAGCTGTCTTTACGCTGGTTTTGTAACCATAACAACACGCTTTTTGTCGATACCAGGCTTCACACTAGTCAAAGGACCGTATCATAAAAACTACGCCAATGCGGCTGTATAAAAAGCTCATCACCGGACTCAATCTGAGAACAATGTGACGTGAACACACAAAAACGTGTTGAAAAACCACACGGGCTATCGCGCCATCCATTACCGTTTCTCCATATCATCAATCCCAGTCTCCGAACAATTTCCACAACCTGTCACCCTGCCGTCAAACGAGCAAACTGTGGACGCGGATCGCATCAGCCTGGGTCGAACCACGCAGCACGTTGCCATGGCGATACGCTGACACCGGAGACCGACAGACCGGGGCCCCTATACCAGACCGGCCACGTGAGGCGGATAGGGTGACCGCGGTGCCGACGCCGATACCGGCAGACTCGCCGAATGGGGACGACAGGGGCAGATGGCATAGGGTAAGGTGCCTAATTAGCGACCCCCTTAATTTGAACCGTCATTGCTCACGCTCTGTAGGTGCCACTGTGTTACTGGCTTGATTTTTGGAGAGATCGTTCATTTTTCTATTGAAATATAGTCATTTTCTGCCCCAATATTCACTAACTTATTTGTAGTGAGCATTTTGGCAAACCATTGCAAAAAACGCTAATAGGGAACTCTTCCCGATTAGCGACCGGGGAGGGTCGCTAATAAGTCTATGGGTTTCCCCATATTAAAAATGGCTAAAAATGCGACGCCTGAAAAGATGAAATATGATCTCAAAAAAGGTAACCTATACGCAAAGCAATCAATCACTCGAACAGGAACGTTTATCCAACACATTTACGTAAGTAAAAACTGATCACGTGATGCACCGAAGGCGAAAAGAAGGCGGAAACCCAAATTTTGGGGCTATCTTGTATGATATTCGAGATCCGCGCTGAATTCGGCACCCCTGCAGTCGGTGACGACATTTGGCATCCCCTGCCACACATTGTAAGCTTCAGCAACACCTCGTTTTCATTTCTCTCTTTTCCCCTTTCTTTCCCTTCTTGAGCTATTTGCGACCATGTCAGGCGCAAATAGGAAATATGAGTTGCGACACATTTTTAGCCGCCATGCTGTGCACAGTTGAGCGATTCACTATGGGAAAACGGCATATTTACGTCTGGACAACGAGTTGCGTTGGAGAGGCCGGAAATAGTGGCGATTTCAGGACCGCAAGAATGGACCGTCATTGGAATGATTCTTTTTTAAACCGTGCGCTGTTTTCGGCCGGAATTTAATAGTTACTACAAAATATTTTGTAATTACGTTTCCACCAAGAGTGAATGCCATCAGGGCTAAATTTTTAATACTATTGCATTTTGTCAAGAAGCATATAGTGCTGTTATATTGCAGTTTTAGCGCTTTTGTTACAAAATATGAAGCGATTAAGCGTCAGTGTAATTCATCAACAGTGCCAGAAGTTAATTTGAGGGAAAGCTATGCTAATTGCCCTTGTCCATCCACTAAAATTTATAAAATATTTTGCTTTGTGTATTCCAAAAGGAGAGGGAACTATTTCATTTGTGTCTTCATGTCAGAATTGAAGGTGGATCATTAAATTTTCAACGCAGTTTACAAACAAGCATTTCAATTTGGTCTTTCTCGTTTATAAGCAGTGGCTAAGAAAAGGTTGATCAATCCTGAAGTTCAGTCATCGTACCTCAACTTGGCAGCAAGATCCCCCAAGGACAGAGGATTTATTGTATACATGTCCTGTAAATCAAAACAAACAAGCTGAAGCATTTGGTCTTTCTTGTATATAAGCAGTGGCTAAGAAAAGGTTGATCAATCCTGAAGTTCAGTCATCATACCTCACCTTGGCAGCAAGATCCCCCAAGGACAGAGGATATATTGTAAACCTGTCCTGTTAATCAAAACATTTTTGTGCCTGCAAAGGCTTAAGTTATCTGTGGTGTGTTCGGAGTAAGGCTATAAGGCCGTTTTTATTGTATGTTTATATGTGGAGATTGAATATAACTGTGATCCTGTGCTTGTTTGTATACTTACGGTCAAACAGGGAACAGCACATTCACATAACATACTCACCTAGCACCTAACTCATAGCTGTACCGTGCAGGATCTGTACTTGTTCATGTCTCGAGCATTAACAAAGCACTTAAGTAGCTTAGTAATCATTTCCCACATTTTCTGAGCATCTAACATGACATACAGCAGTGCAGAACAGCTTCAGAGAAGAAACACTTTAAATGCACAGACTCGCACCAGCCACCCAATGAGCCAGTTCCTCAGTTGACTGTTTCCCTGGACGCAGCTTGGCAATGTGAGCTAACTTTTGGCAAGTTGAAGGTTAGCAGGTAAGTATAATTAGATAAATAAAAAAGTTAGCAGGTAAGATTGAGTTAGGGTGAGTACCTTCCTATAACTGGGTGCTACTGCCATGCAGGTCTTGGGTAGGCTGCAAATATGTGTGATGATTGAGGTTAGGTCAGCTGTCAGGTTAGTCAGGTTCAGGTATGCTCATTGCTCAGGTCACATTTTTATGGACATTTGGCAAATTAAAAAACTAACAATCTAATCTAAGCTAATCCAACTAAACATACACAACTACTGACTATAGGAACTGAGCACCTACCTACTTGTGCCTACATCTCATACCTGCAAGTCAAAGTAGAGTTCCTTGGTGGAAGATTACCCTCAGTACTTTTTATCCCAGCCCTGTGAAGAAAACTAATACTTCTAAGCTCTGAGTCACTGCTGGCCATGCACATGAAGAAACGCTGAGACTGAGAGCTTTGCCATTGTATATTGGACCAATAATGACTATCACAAATGACTATGAACACATAATATGATCACATCGTTGCATGGATTGTCACATTGACAATTTTACTACAATCCTTTTTTCAAGAAATACAGTGATGATGATTAACATCAAAATCAACATAAAGTGGATTTAGTGATCCAAGCTTTGCTGCTTTCTCCTCCAGTAGCAATGGAACGATCGCATGTTTCATTTGCCAGACACTGAGTACCTGATGCACATTACAATCTGCATAGCATCTAAGCATAGTAAAACTGCCCAAGTCCATTCATTCTAGATTTTAACTTGATAGTTAGCACTAATTTATCTTGCTGTTGTAAGTTATCATTCAATATTCATACCAATACATCAATATGCGCTCATCAGTCAACATTTTCTCATTCTGGCATGATCCTGCTCAGCATGCTCTTCAGTATTGCTCCAAGGTCTGCAATATTATAGCTTGCTTTTGGACAATAAGCTCTTTTAATTTTACTTTTTCTTGCTGATATATGAGCCCGATCAACTAGCGTTTATCAACCAAAATTTCATAACTTGTTCAACTTTGACTTGATATTGATATTGCTCAGTAGTCAGGACCTCTGTCAGCCTCCTGGATACTTCAGATTGTTTTCAGTCAACATGCTTCTTAAATATGATATAAGTCAATCTTAAGGGATTCAAAACATACAACAAAACGACGTACAAGAGCAAGAAAACCACCAGATAAACTAAAAAATGGCCTTGGAACAGAGCCAAGTGGTGCTCCATTTGTTTGTTTACAATGATTGTAGTGCTGATGTATTTTTAGGACTCTGAACGTCGGCTTATAAAAAATGAAACGTTTTTACAAAAGTTGTAAGGCAAGTAATATTTATCTGAAAGAACTAAAATATTCAAAAGCCAAACACTATGACATACATGAATCGGAACGAAAAAGTAACCCAAAAATCCAGCCTAATCACCGGCTCCTAAAACTGCAACACAATCAGCACTTTTCCCCGCAACTCGTTGTCCAGACGTAAATATGCGGGAAAACGGCAATCAATTAAAAAAGGAATGTCGATTAAGAATAAAAAAGGTGCATCATCCTAATGTGCATCACTTTTCGTCAGAGAGGGCCCAAACACACACGTTTTGGATAAGAAACTCGTCATTTTTATTTAAACTCATCTGAAACGCCCCACCAGAAACATCGACGACCGGAAAATAATTTAATTCGATAACCAAAGTATGGCTGACCTTTTGACGATGTTTTTACCCCGTTTTCTCATGCCAGTTTTTCTGTAGGGAGGTAGGTCGCAAATCGGAAAGGGTCGCTAATTAGGCACCTTACCCTATAGTACCGAGTACGGCGGACATATTGACACCAGACGGCTGGGTTCGTCAGCCCATGTGACCAGCTGGGGTAGATGGTGGTTGTTACTAGGCTGGTGCAATACTGGTGCAGCGCTGGCGCTGTTCCACTAATTGAGCGACACTGTTCCATTCACGGTTAATTAACTCGTACGTGTTTTTTCTCCTTTTTTAGTCCCGGCACTCTCGGCGTAGTCGCCGCCAATTCGTTGACGGAGCTCCGTCGGCGATCAAACGATTCAACTCCGATCGAATTAACGAATTGACGTGCCTTGAATTGGGAATTAGATAGGACGGTACTACAATAAAGACTAATGCATATGCGTCACGTCATCTACGAACACCTCGGAGCAGACGACTAACTAAACTTTAAACTGAATGACAATCTGTTTTAGTCATCATTGAAGCTGTCTTCAAGTACATCAGTTCTTTGTGCGTAACGGGCATATCGATCCTTTTCGACCCTGATGCTGTCGAACTGAATAAACCGAGTCCCGAAGATTGTCAATTAATAAATAACGTCCTGTAATGAAGCGTCTAAATTCATTTCTAAAGAAAGCAGCGAGTACTTTTCCGACATGATGAGGCGATTAAAATGATAAATGGCGTGTTAAAACCGGAATCTTCCGTTGCTTATTTATAGAGTGTCGTTCATTCACTCTCTGACGGAAAAGTTTCAGCAGCTCCGTATCTATTGATTCCACGTGCTGACCGCTGACTCAACCCATCCTGTAATTCCATACCGACGCGGACCTCATTCATACCCCCACCTCCTCCCCCATCACTATCGGTCGTCGACAGCACTCTACCACCGCTGACCGCCGAACTGCGACGCATACCAAATCACCCTCGCCGGCCCAGGGCGGATCCACGGCGGCACGGCCCGACGGCCCGACAGGATATTAGCGTCGACACGAACACGACCCGTGTCGCCGGTAATTCAGCCACCGAGCTGAACAAGCATTAGTGGGGACAGACACAGCTGCCGGAAGGGGACCCATGTCAGTCCCACGCACAAGGGGGAAAAGCTCAAATTATTGAGCGCTCAAAAAATTGAGCGGGCCCCATTATGAAGGAATAGGCGAAACGATGGTATTTTACAATGCCTCTAGCGTCACACTACGGCAAATATCGTATCCAAATAAGGTATCAATGGCAAGAGAGAGCAACAAGGTTTCTTCTCGAACACTCGCCGTGATAATTTATATCGGTGTTTTTGGAAAGAAAATGCCCTAAAGACGCTCAACTTTTTGAGCGCCACTTGTCGTTCGGGACCGCGATACTCAATAAATTGAGCGCCACGACAGACGACAGTCAGCTGGCGCTAAAAAAATTGAGTGGCGGCCAGCATCTACACTCAATTTATTGAGCCTTCTCCGTGACAGGTGAAGCCGGTACTGGCTGCCATTTCTGATGTTATGTTCGTTGAAATACGCTGAACTGAGTTGAAACAGAAATGCAGGAAGTTGAATGCTACGTGGTACCTAAACTTTTCACAAACCCATGGCATCATATCACATTTTCCGCTAGTAGTTTTATCGGTCGCCTTTCGGATTCGGCACACCTCAAATAATTATACAGGGCTTGAATAATCCGTATGAATACTGTATTGATATTTTCTGACTGTACTGGGAGAAGGGAATACGTGATTACAGAAAGATATCCACCCACGCTTGAATATTGGAGAATTATACAGGAAAAACTGTATTGCCACGGTTACAACTTACAAGGCCGTTCGGCCGCAAACAAACAAAAATACTATACAATGTGGGTTAGATTCACAAACATCATCAAGTGTGGAACACAGAGACGAGCAAAACAACATCACATTATCGCATGCCAGCCCGACCACATTGGAACCGGGTGACCTGCGACCGGAACCTGCGTCTTGCCAGCATACATCACAAAAGCAGGAGGCAGTGTCGTACTGCTTTGATCCAAAATATGCCATATAACAAATGATATAAACGACCTAAGCTCGGACTAAGCTTATCATTATCAAATCCTTAACATGTAAAAGACGAATGGAAACATCGAGTCTCAGACCAGCAGTAGCAACCATCACAGTAGCAACATCACAAAGAACACGCGGCATTATCAGACAGCCGTTTTGTTATCGGGCTACAGGCGGCGACGGCGTGGTTGCAGGCCAGCTGCGAGGTAGCGGCGTGCGGGCAAAAGGCGCGGGTACACCTCCATGTGGCCGTGCGGACAGTGCGCGGTCGGCGTCGCATAGTGGGCGGCATCGAGCTGTCCCGGGGCCGTCGAAGCCGCACAGGTTGTCGGCGCATGTGGGCGCGCGCGGTCACCACGGCCAGCTGCTCACCGCCAGCAGACTGCGCAGCGTCGCCGCTCCGCCGGCCAGAACACGCAGACAACCCTTCTTGCAGTCGCACAACACGTCGCCAAACTCATTCACCTGCTCCACCATGTTGTTGATGTCACCGAGTCGTTCAAGTTGTGGCTCGTGCCGTCGAGCATGACCTGCCCGATCGGACACGGGTCAGCGGCTTCTGCTCCAGCGAAGTCTTCATCTTGGTGACGTCTTGCTGATCTCCACAAAGGCTGAGCAGATGACCTTACCCACAGGGACGGCCGACGTCCTCGCCAGCGACCGCTTGGTTGTGCAGACCTGCCAGAAAAAGAAAAGCTGTTTGGTGATCTCAAACGATTTTTTTTTTCTTTATGCAGTGGAACAAAATGGAAAACATGTCATACAACAGGAACTAAAAAAAGATGCAGCCTAGGTCGTCTAAGAAATGGGTGCAACATTGATAAAATTCTTCCTTGAATGAATTCTACAAATGCTTTTGATAAAATGTGTGGTGATTATAAGGAGACCACTTTACTATAAAATTGCTCAGGATTCCCTATCTGGACCTGTCAAAAAATCCTGACTGCACACCAAAAATGAGCATTAAATCCGAAACCTCTACCAGGTACCTAGGGATAAATAAATTCTGATTCAGGAAAATATTTCACATCATACAAATAAAAACCTTTACTATATTGAAACTGAAAATGTGATGCCGATCCAGTGACCTAAGGGTCTCAAAGTATAATAATGAATTAATCTATTATAAATTTGGTGGTGACTGCCAACTGGCGTCTGGCAGCCTAGACCTTGAGGCTTGAAAGTGGCCTTCCTTTTCCGTTGACTCCGATCCTCCAGATGGAAATGATGTAAAGGATCATTTTTATCTTATTTCAAATGAGCCAGTCAGCAAAGTGGCTATCCTGTTTCAGCATTCACACACACACACTAGTTGACTGTCAGTCTGTCATGCTGTCAGTGTTGTGAAGTAACGAAGGAGTTGAGTTTTGTTGATTATAAATTGTGATGTTATGTAAAGGACTGGAAAATGAATGTGAAAACTATGGAAACATATTGGCAGAGTATTGTCACTTACTATCAGGACATATGGATAGAGAATACATTCAAATTAATAAGAAATGCCAAATATCAAGGTATTCAATCACTGATAGTGCAGTGGACTATCATATGTTTTAATGTCAATTGTATGAAAGTTAAGACTGAAACTACCTTTTACTTCATCATACCTAATGAAAAATTGTGTGAAGAAAACATTCACAGCCTCTTTGAAGCACTTAGACCACTAAAAAACAAAAATTTTCACGTAAATATGTTGTGTCTCTTTCCCTCAAAACATCATATCGGATGGCGCCACTTTCGTCGACAGTTACTTATCTGCACGCAAATCGAGGAAAACGTGAATTGATTGACGTTTACGTGTTTCCAAATTTAAAATCACAGCATATTCAAACTTTTCAGTGTACCTTTTAACATCTAAATATAACTAAAACGATAAAAACTTACCTTCAACACAAGGACGACGACAACCACGCGACCGGAGACGTCGCGACGAAATAAACAAACGGCGCCGCCAAATGAAAAATATTCTCCGGTATGGGTGATGTGAAATTGAGTCGCAATCATTTTGGGTAGTATGAAAAATGCTCTTTCCAACAGAACCCCAGTAAAAAACGTGAATGGACAAAAAATAACTTTTATTTCGACATAAATATTGGCCTGTTTTTAAGGCATCCTGGTATGCCGTAAGATTTCGACCTAGAAATTGGTGTTCCCCCAATCATTGAAGCTTGAGCAGTGAAAAATATGAAAGCATAATCTGTTTTGCATCATTAGTGATTCTCCTAGGGTGTTGCCATTTCTCCCTAGGTGTTGCGAGTTGCTTTTGCAAAACGTGTTCCTGAAACGGCTCAATTTTTTTAGCCCTCAGCATTACGCCTATGGGAGCCTCTGACGTCACACGCTCAATATTTTGAGCGCTCAATAATTTGAGCTTTTCCCCCTTGTGCGTGGGACTGATGTTAGAAGAGTTGGAGCCAAATTTGGATGGTGAGTGGTGTCCGGGCTGCATTGGAACACAGCATGATTTGGTGATCGTTCTGGGATCCATGCGTTTTTAGTCAGAGGCCCTAACACCAATGCATTATTTACACCAACAGGCCCCGTCACCACCAGCACCACATAATGAACAAGCACCAACTGCAGCGGCCTCTGCCACTGTCGGGTCACTGTCGGCACTGGAATAGGCAGGCCTCCGTTGGGACGTGCACAGTGCACAACATGGGAGAGAGATACACTACTACCAGTCTGTCGGGCGTTTGAAGATCATGAAACCCTTCATAGACGGGAAAGGAATTCGTCCGGTAAGCCTCGATCAGACAGTCAAGCCAGATCATGTAACTTAGATCAGTTCAGAAAGAAGTCAGTGTCGCGTCAGACCTCCTGCCCGACTTCCGGTCACACCCCAAACATCAATATCTCAGAGCAGAGCAGACCGAGCAGCCTACGCTGCGCTGACTAAGCCAGTCCTCGACCAGTACCAACTGAAATTCACGGACGTAAGCGCACACACGCATGCAGAAGTGAGTTAGCAAGCTCCCGGTGTTAGAGAAAGGGCTGAGGGAGTTAGTCCCGCCACCTACCGGGCGAACCCAGCATGAACTGAGCCTCGCGACGCATATCGGCCGTCGACGTCACCGCCGCTGCAACAACAGACACCCTCAGATAACAGTACCGGAACACCTTCACTTCAGTCACCGTAACAACAGACACCCTCAGAAACAGTACCGGAACACCTTCAGTCACCACAACAACAGACACCCTCAGATAGCAGTAACAGAACACCCTCAGTCACCACAACAACAGACGTCCTCAGAGAACAGTGACAGAACACCTTCAGTCACCGTAACAGATCACCCTCAGAACGCAGCTCCGGACAGAGACAGGGACAACATACATCCTCAGATAGCAGCTCCGGACAGCGTGGGGCAGTGATAGCGACAGTAGCAGTGACAGAACAGTGACAGCGGCAGGTCAGGGTCACGGGCGCAGGTAAGGATAGACGCAGTCACCAGACAGGTTACCAATACCCTAAGAGACAGAAATGAGAGGCTAAGGAGTGACGACAGGCATATGACGGCAAAGAATCAACAGGCATGACAGAACGCAGACATCGAATATACAGCGCTGAAAGGAACCAATTTGTAGAAACGGCTTGGTATAGCATAAGTATTGGCTGTCGCAGAAGAGAAACACAACAGAGGCAACATATCATTCCGCTAAGTAACTCGCAAAATACGTTCAATAAGACAGGCAACGTCTCGGCCCGGCCAGCGCCATGATAGACACTTTGTGGCTTCTGCTTGCTCCACACTCATCCGCACAAAAAAAGTTAAGGCTTGCTCCTGCGGCCTCTATAAAATAGGAGCAGGGCTTCATTCGAGCGACGTCAGTCCACTCTTAAAAACATTACACAACTTAACACGAGTCACGAGAAGAGCGAGCATGATCAGCAATTCAGGACCAAAGGAATGTTATATTTACAGACGTAACTATAACCGAACCTAACGCTCAATATTCGGCTCACACACCGACACGCTTCAGGTTTCCAATTAATGACATCGTTATTCCAGAGACATGCTTATTATTCCGGGCGACAAACGGCCCTAAAATGGAAGGGGAATCCCCGCTATCGTACCACCAAATCTGAAATGGGATCTAGTCCTAAATTTAATATTCTGGCCATCCAAAACCAGAACCAGTGGAAGAGGGGCAGCGGCCTCAACATGGGAGATAGTGAGGGCGGTCACCGGTCAGACCCCTGCCAACGGAATCCGACCCCGGCGGCCCCACTGCTCCGCCCGCCCAGCCCCGGCTATCGCCATGTATCGGCTGGCGCGGCCCCCGTCAGCACTGCTGGCAGGGGCGGGGCCGGACAGAGCCTCCCCAGTGACACGGAGCCGCCAGGCAGCTTCCTGCGGAGCGGGGCGCTCAGTCGCCGGGCCGCCGGCGCCTCAGCCGGCCCGATCCGGAACGAACTGGATCCGTGACGTCACCGCATGACGTCATTGTCGGGCAGCCGACGCCGCGGTCGTTGCGAACCGCGAAACAAGTCCGGGAACCAGTGGCGGCCGACGGAGCAGAAACTGGCGAGCGTCGATCGGGGGAAGATCAAACGACGGTGCGCGCCGGGCTCAGGTCGGCCGCCGCTCCTCCGCTGTGTGCCAGCGCGCCGCCGCTCGGTCCAGATGACGTCATCATTACGTCACAAGCCCAGAGGTCACGTCTTCAGTAATCCTCAATCTACGCGAACCGAGCGATCCCAAGCCGTCGGCTCCGGTAAACAATCCCTCCCGTCGCAGCGGTCAAAACAGCCACCTAGTAGTTTATCCCAAAGATCCAGCGGCCGTAGAAACACCAAGTAACATCAATTCGTACTTGGAAATTCGAACAAAGTAACTCCCTTTCAGATTGGTCACTATCGGTTTCCTGTTGGTCGAGTTGAAACGTCACACATGAAAGACGTAGTTCCTGCAGAGACGGACAACCTGGAGGGCGAAGCCGTCTGCGCTGTTGATGACTTCTGCTGACTGCTGCAAGAACATCAGACGTTGGTCGCAGTGACCATTCAGACTGATAAGGCGGATAACGGCATCGAGGAGTGACGGATAAAACAGCGGTGAACAGACTGCGTAGGTAGCGGCCGCGGAGACACACAGACGCAACACCGCTGGTGGTAAAGGTCACAGCCTCTGACCGGGCTCCGTTAGCCGAGACGGCGGCTGCTGACGGAGCTCACGGTGCTGACAGCGCTCACAGTACTGATCCTGCTCACGATGCTGATGTTGCTGACGGTTGTAGTTCCGGTTCATCCGAGGACCGCGGGCCCCCGGAAACCAGTCAGATAACCCGACCAGTCCAGTAACCGAGCCGATCGCAATAGACCAAACAGTCGAGTTGGGCTGGGTGACGCCGGAAACGGGATGTGTTTCTGCCCCTAAACAGTACTGAAACGACGGCGTGCAATGTTCGCTGATGAATAATTCATTGTAGAAACGTTACATAGCACGGACGGGAAGAAGAGTAACTATTAATAGATCGGCTTCCGGAACGCAAACCAAGAAAAGAGCGGTCTTAGAGTCTTAGCGACGGATCAAAAAGTGTCTAGACGCCTAGACTTGGAAAACAAGTTCGGTGCGCCTGTACTGTATATCTTGCATGCAGTCGTGGTCAAAAGGGCAGTCCAAGAAGTGAGGAACATATACACCGTGCGAATACATAATTTTGACTTTTGAACTTCCATATTTCCTGATGATATTCAACTACGTAACTATCTAAGTGGCATGTGTTGCAGAAAAGACCGACAAACTCTGGCTACCGCTAAACTCGTCAGAAAGGGCACATTCTTGTTGCCACATGTCTCATTCTAGCGATACATCCGGGGCTCCTCGGCATTCAGTCAGCGTCAAGGGTCAGATAATATTGACTGCACTATATCCTCCATTCGGGTGCAAATTGAAAGCCACGGAAGAATGACGAGATCACCATTTGACCAGACCACCAAAATTTACCGACTCTCATCTCGGACACAAGAGATAGCTTCATAATAGCCTGATCATGGTCACAAAGCGAGGACCGACCCCGGCGCACAGCCGTATACTGGCGATCGACCGGGTGATTTTCCGCCAACAATACCGGTCAGAGGGCACAGCGTGGTCATCTCCCTCGGGCCGGCGGACACTGGGTGCTCTATTGACCACACACGGACAGTGGGGCAGCCATTGTCGGCAATCAGTGTCAGCAGCCAGAGTAAACAGTCGGTGACATCCAGTCTGTACCGAGCAGCGTAAACGGCGCAGGGTGCCAGTATTGCGGATGGCCAGAGATGTTAAACATTGACATTCGGGATTAAGCATTATTTCAAAGTACGCTTAAGTGAATCAAGTATGCGACGAAGCTTATTTCGAAAAAAATAGAAATATCCGAAATCGATTCCTTTACGGTGACCTTTACCTACTACTATGGTTACTTTCTTGAAAAACCGATAATAACAGGATGAGCGTCAAGCAAACAGCATCGATCCAGCATCACAAGCTGGCGCACGCCTAAACTTCAAACACTTCATTTTGCTGAGTGGCACTATCGAAACACATTACCAAGTGCCCTCAGTACCACGAAAACATTGGTGCATATCATAAATGTGAAAAGCGCACGGCGACCAAAACAGTCCTGCATTTTCATCACATAAAGCAATAGGTACCATGGGAACACAAGCACCACCAAACAGCTCAACAATCACAATCAAAAGCACAACAATCACAACAGTGTGGTGTGTAGCACTCCGTCCTGCCCTGTAATGCCCCGAGTCATCAGCCACTGGATGTAATACAAACAGACACCTCACGGCCCCAGTGTCCCTGGGCGTCTCTCTACCAACCTCCAATCATTCAGCGTCCCAGAGTGTCCCTCTCCCGTCCTCCGACCCTTCCGCGTCCCTCCACCCACCTTTGATTTGTCTCCGGAGTCGCGGCACGAGCAGCAGCTGGACCCCGATAGCCACGATCAGACCGGCAGCTACCGAGATCAGCACCACCGCCCACACGGGCAGCTTGTCCAGGTACAGCACTGCCAACACGCAGACACACGCGCGGTGAGAGGGAGACGGGACTCAGTGGCACTGGCACTGTGACACTCAGTGACACTGGGAGTTTCGTGCGGGAGGAGGTACTGGATCAGGGGGCATCAGACATCAGCTTCAATATTCATATCCCCGTAGGTTTTGGGTAATGGGTAAACAAGTAAAATAAATGCGGCTTTCCTATAGCAAAATTAATCGTACAATCGACAACCAGACATATACACGTTGCACTCCTCCTCAACGCCACTTCTGAACACGACTTCAGTGACGTTCTGAAAAGACACTTAGGCTACATACAGGGTGATTTTTTTTAACTGTTAAAAAGTAAACGTCAATGGTGGTCCCTAAATCGAAAAATCTTGTGCAAAAAAGCAATGCACGTGATAGATAAATCTGGGACATTTTGTATTGTGTCATGATTTGTCCCTTTTAACCGAAGGCCTCGGCCCCAGTGGAGCCTGAAAATGTCCCACCAATCGGGCACGCATGGTCCACCGCCGTTCAGTAAGGAACGACACAAAACGATGATATTGAAGCATTGAGGCAGTTCGAAGCATACGATCATCAAGGGGATACCTCAGAAAGACGTTAAACAATGCACTAACAAGCTTGTAGTCATAAATAACCTTCAAACGGTCCATCTGGCGTATGTGCATCCTCTGAAGAATCAGTCTTCAGGGAGAAACAAAAACAGCGAATCAGACACCACCAGGGCCGCCAGTAGCAAAATCCTCGACCTGCCCTTTCTAGACTTCTAGTTTTTGGACCCAGGTATGGCAGATATAACAAGAAAACATTGGAAATATCTGGCAGAGCTGAAAATGGGTGATAGGAACCTTTTCAGTCCGCCTAATGAGCATGGGAGTCCATGGTGCTGTTCAACACGTGCTCAGGCGGGCTGATTCGTGTCGGTGAGAGAGGGGGGTAACTTCAAGCACAAGTAAAATACACGATGGACGTTCCTTCACATCGTGTCTGCATGAAATCAAAATGTCCCAGAATGCTCGTCATGCTGGTATATAATTTTACAATATATATTTGCATTTTGACGCCACTAAACCTCATTACTTTTTAACAAGTAAAAAAAATCACCCTGTACTTCTAAGCTCGACAGCCAGACACATTTCGTCAACCCCCCATCACGTGACATCCATGTGATCGCCCGATAACAAACAGCTAATCCAGACTGACTGCCGGATCTGCGACGCAAACATCCATGAAGGACATGAACTGCGGAGCCGGGTAACGAGGCAGAGGACAGGAGGAATAGAGAGGGAGGGAGGGACGGTGATAAAATCGGCCTCCCCTGTTCTGGACTGGCCGCCCGTCTGATAACCACTGATAACTGGGGATAACGGTTTGATAACGGCTGATAACGGGGATGGCTGCGTCCAGAGTGGCGCAATTCCAGATCCGGTCGGTTCGGGGCATTATATCGCTACCAGGAACCCCAATAACCTGAGTTTTGTTCCAACAGCCGTGAGGACGCATACACCCACCTAGTGCGCCATCAGCCACTTCCAATAAATACGCGCAGTGCGCAGTGCGCATTTCCAATCCAATAAAACCTCACAGTCTAGGTTACGCAATTAAATTCTGAGGCCGACTAAAGCACTCATTAATCGGTCGAGTGTGAAATACTATCCCCATTGGAACGCAGAAGTCCAGGCAGGTCTCAGCCAGTGGAGCGGACAACACGAGAACGTCGGACTATTTCTGACCGGACAACGAAATCAGTGACTGCCGGCGATCCCAGCCGGAGTCGATATTCACACCGGCTCGGAGGCAGCGAGGCAGGGGTAGGCCAATAACAGGAATAAGTTACCCAATTTGGACGAGTTGATACGATCTACTCAATTACAGCACAATAATGGGTCACACACCTCCAGGCAACGAGGTGTCTGGCATTGAGTTACCATCGATCCTATCCTACGTCTCCCATCCCATCCTATCCTAGGTCGCCCTACCCTAGTCAATCAAGGGGTAGCCAGCCACCAGGCACCAAGACTAATAAACGATCAAAAGCTATGAAAATCCCATCAGTCTTTTTATCACACGATTGGTTGGTTTGGATTGTGAAATCCTGCATCCCTCCCATTGTTCCACCGCCTAGCTGCTGGTCCGTCAGTACGCCCACCCTCTCCTCTAAAACTCACGTGACGGTCCGTCGTGCACCACGCTGAACACGTTGATCAGGATGGTGAAGCCATAGAAGAAGGGCAGCGAGCGCAGGCCAGGCTCGACCGGCTCGGGTCGGCGGAGCACCAGCGTCCGCACGATCAGGAACAGGCAGATGGAGATGATACCCGAGAGAACCGGCGACAGGAACCACGAGGCCACTGAAACAGAGAGACGGCGGTGTCAGGACCCCACGGAAACACAGACAGCAGGGTCACACCACACAGCACCGGAGGCACGGACCAGGCAGCCACTGGAATACAGAGCCACGACGAGGTCAGCATGACGCGGGTGGACACAACACGATGTCCCATCCATGGGCAGGGGGAAAACCCTGGAAAGGCGTAACATGCAGCAGCAGGGGACGCAATATGTAAGTTGATGTAATATGTATTCTACATGACAAAAAGAAGCGAAGGCTTCTAGTCCGTGTTCGGTGTTATATATCCCGAGGAATGCCCTAAAAAAGGTTATCGCCAGTTCCCTGGCAAAGAAAAAACGCTGGTCGGCTGGGCGTTATGAGATATGGCAGGCAATACGCTGAACTGCTATTTCTCACATGCCGGAAAGTTGCCTACAATGCCTATCGATCCTGTCTAATTCCTTTTAGCTAAGGTAAAACAAGCATCGGCGCCACTCCTCACTCCCCAGCCGTCAAGGCTCCTAAGTGAACGGCGAATGCAACGAAAACCCAATGCAATGCAAGAATGCAAAGCACGCAATATATCGGTTGTGACTTAAAGGGAGATTATGACCTTTTTCCACAAAATCTGAGTTAGGACCATTTTCTGACAAAACACAACAAGTTATAATGTAAATTAAAACCATTTTGCTCAATTCGGTACCTTGCCGCAAATATCTCAACTTGAAGTCACGCTAGCGGGGAGCGCTGAAAATGACCGTTGAATAAGTACTTACATCACTTTTTGGTACTTGCATGTAATTTTGTAAAATGAGCGTATTCATTACATTTGATCTTCATCACATCTAGTTAGTTAATGGTCGTCTATAGTGCCTTCAAAAGATATTCATGGTTTGGGGGTGGTTTATGTCTAAATTTACGCAACTATTTTTCCTGTTCATCATCTGTCGCCATATGCTGCTATTTTAGTAGCAACGACTCAATTTTGAATCGGTCCCGCCGACTGCACAATAAAAGAAGATAGATACAACACTTTTGCGGCATCACTGAAAAACTTATGCAGTACTGTTATCAAAATTCACATAACACCGTTCGACAAACCTGAAGTCTTTTTGAAATAAATATGCTTGTATTTTTCGCTTCAGGCTCTGAGGCCAAAATAATGAATTTCGTAGTCGCAATCGCAAGATTTGGCTGCGTTTCTGGCGCTTGCCGTTCATTTGCGGCGCAAAATAATACTTGGAAACAAAGAAGAGTAGGCGCTATGTACCCCCGAATTAGAATCTAATTAATTCTAAACCGAATTAACTCTAATTCAAATTAGAATCCTTACAACCAAGCAACGACAAGGCGATAACATAAACAAAAACCCAAGCGTCGCTGTTTGAAACAAAAGCGCCATATACTGCGACTTTTTTATAGAGAAGGACAACGCATTTCGGTGGGTGTTACAAGTACTGCAAGTACTGCTTCTTTTTTGCAAAAATGAAAAGCTTTTTCACATACGAAAATGTGCTAGGAAATTTTCATATTTTATAGAAACTACAGTAGAAATAGTATAGATGTCGAGTAATTTTTATTTAAGAAAAAAGAAAGCTCATTATCTCCCTTTAATGCATAAACAATAAAGAAAATCAACGCTAAATGACCAATGATTGTGCGTAAGAGACGGTCCGGTCTCATTACTTTCCTCCGCGGGAGACAGCTGCCAGACCAGGACCCATTTGGACGGTTTGTGTAGCGGCGGTTACCACTGCCAACTGACTGATCAGTCAATCGTCTCCAACGAATCCGGATGCATTAGTCAGGCCTCCCCAGACTCAGTGATGGCGTTTGATCTGTGCGAATGTGAGACGCCGGAAACGGACCATAAACCTACTACTACCCGGGTCAATATTATTACCTCAGCTGTACAACGCAAAGTAAATATGTACCGAAGCTTAGGCAATAGTCATTTCGTTTTGTTTTTTCACGGTCACGAGATTTTTCGTCGACCGTCTGGCTTCTTGTGTCCTACGGTTTTTACATTCACCTGTCGTGTCAAGGAAAAGGGTGCAATGCGTGCTCCTGTCGGTACACCTCAATATTTCTACTAAGACAGGCAGACGACAGTCCACACGTAACCCATGAATCACCCCCCACCCCCCCCCCCCGACCTGCGTGGCTCAGTTGGCTCGGGGTCAGCCTCGGCTGGCCAGCAGCCAACTCGAGCGATCGGCCGCGCCGGTACCGGCAAACGGATCAGCCCAGTCGGCCAGGGGGGCTAATTCGCGCATTAGCCGGGCCATTTGGACCAGTGCGACTGAATTGGAACAAGTGTGTCGGTGTGAGCAGGCCTTCACACAGCTGCGGGGCGTGCCGCTACATCTGAGCAGTGATGGGTATTGAGCGTTCGCTGAAGGATGCAGTTTCCGACTAAAGACTTGAATTCATTTAGTTTTAATTACCATCAATTTACCTACGCATCAACTGGAACAAGGTCGATAATCGACAGTCGCTGACTCGCTACCCTTCATTAGCAGAGCTAATATACGCTCAGTAATTCACTGAAGGACTGGGAGTCTGGGACAGGGCAAATAAAAGAGTTCAATTCCGACGTCTGTAACACGTATCTCGGCCAATCTTTTTTACTCCGCCGGCAATAAATCTCACGAAGAATTATGTCATGCTGATGAAGAATTACCTAATCTCTATTTTTACTCTCGCCCTGTTGCCCCTCTGATCGGCTGCCCTTGAGGTCCACTTCGGATCGGGAGTCAAGGGGTCAGGGGGCCAGGGACAGGGACAGATGGTGGTCCGATGGCTGTGACCGCATTCCGACCGACTGCCAGCCCTGTCAGTGATCCCGCCACGTCTGATACTTCTGTCAGACGGTGGCACTATGGAGCGGCTCCGGCAGAGCGAGTCAGATTGTGACAATGTCGCGTTTGCAGTGATTTTTAAGTGTGACAAAATGGACTGTCTCTGCTATCCTTCTGGGAAAACGACGCACTCCCCGGCCCATACGTTGAAATGATGACCCTTGTGCGGCACCAGAGATACATGAATGACATCGAACGAAAATACCTAGGTAACCCACATAAATGTAATATAATTTAGCCTGATAAGAAAGACACCGACACCCGACGGTCACTCACACGAGTCACCTAACTTGGCAGCGAAGTCTCGTCCTTACCGGCCCATCAAATACCAAGGCATTCAACTCGGTCAGTAAGAGGAGTCGTGATATGAACTTCGCTCCATCTTCTCAGTGCGCTGTTCTGGCCAATCACGACTTGTTCTGTTCTTGTCCAGGTCCACGCCAGCCACGCCTTATGGACATGTTGAACGCTGTGATGGACGGTGCCGTTGGCGGTGACGCAGGCGGCGTCGGCACCCCACACGACCTCGTGACCTTCGGAAGGCCACATTCTGGGCATTGGCTGTCGCTCCTGTCAGCCCGGTGCCAGACATTGTCAGTGGGCCCGGCCGACCGTCACCACACCCTGGTGACAGCCTGTCTGCCTTTGGCGGTTAATCCTCTTCGTCTCTCTCCCTCTCCCCTCTCTCTCTCTCTCTCTCTCTCTCTCTCTCTCTCTCTCTCTTCTTCCTCTTAATTTAGTATCTTCACTGCATTCATGCCAAACCACCCCAGGGACCCGTCGCGACTCAACCACTATCAGACGAGCCCCCCCCCCCCATCTCTCAGCTCGAGCACGCCCCTCCCAGTCACCAGACGACCGGCCGGCCTGGGCTCTCGGATCCAGCACGTGGCTGTTGCTGTTGGCACCCGTCGCTGCAGTTCGCGCCCCGGCGTCGGATCCGACGAACAGACCCGCCGAGTGACGCAATAACGGCGACAGACGCCGTGAAGGCTCCCGACGCAACGACACCGACCGACGCAGAGCCGTGAGGGCTCGGGAGCTGCGGCGATTGCAATGACCTCTGCCGCCGCCGACACAGACGACTATGGGACAGGCTGTGACACGGGCCGCGGAGAAAAGTGATCGAAGGTCGGTATGCCGTGGATTCATGAAGACGATCTTACCAGGGGCGGATTTAGACACACTCACTGCCAGACAGCGCACGGGGAATCGAAAAATGAAGAGTACCAATTTTCTTCTTAAAGCTACGCCTTAATCCTCCGCCTCGTCAAAAAAAAAGACCCACCTGTCGCCTTATGTCCATCAAATGTCTATCACTCTATCGGATACATCTACCTCTCTAGCCCTGCAGGGCTAGGCAGGCCAGGGCCCTGGCCGGCTCGGTCTGTCACGCCGTGCACGGCGGTACAGTATGCCAGCGATAGCCAGGCGGCAGGGCGTATAACGGGCCTCGCGATAGAGCCGAGGCGCCCGTGTAATGCGGCACAGCATCAATTCCCGTCGCAGGCGGCTGCTCTGAGGGCATCGGGGATTGGCGTCGAAAGGCCATCGCATTGAGGAGACAACAAGCTCCAAGACAGTCTCAAATAAGTGTCGAACGGAGCGGAATGCAGTCTCAAGTCTGCATTATTATTACATGATGACATTAAGCACCTACCAACTCAGGTATCGCGTAGAATAAGAGGAGACCCGGAGACTCCCCCGAACGAACGGCTGCGTCATCACTGATCCCATTCCGCCCACAGGGAGGAAGGGGCCATCCACACTCCAATGCATACCATCCATATTCCAGACACCAATCTGTCCTATCGCCCCCGACAAGGAGTCCCCTGCTCCCAGTCCAGCCTTTCGTCATCTGGATCAGCGTCGTGTTCCGCGGTCGATTTGCGTGACGCGATGGAGGCTCGGCCCTGTCCGACGGCCGCTCTGATTCTATCACACATGTTTATGTAGAGCGCCGGCACCCCTTCCCGGCGCAGAGTGCGCGTCGTGAGCCGGTCAGCGGCCGCGCCGGCCGATCATCATGCAAAACATGGGTGTTTGACGTCGTTGGCGTCCCTGTCACATTGGCGAGTGTGCCTCAAAGGGGCCGTGGCTAGCACCGAGTGCAGATCTGTCAGCGCAATGCGACCGTTTACAGATGGCGGAGAGTGCTGGCGCTCCATCACTCGGAGAGCGGGGTCGGTCGGTGGATGGACCTGCCGGACAGCGCACGTGCCGAACGACCGTGTGCTGTTTACGGGGCAGACGTAATCGATAGGTACAGGAGCTCCGGTTACCATAATTACAAGTGATAAAGGAGGGCTAATTTACGTAACTATTTGTAAATGATGCATCATGTCTGAAGGGCTTTAGCTCAGAATCATTTAATTTATGATCAACATCACTCATTTATGGCCGGCTGAAGATACAAGTGCAAAAGAAGGGCGATAAATGAAGAGGATAATGAAAAGAATTGCAAGGGACGGGAAAATGGAGACAGCGAAAGTTAAAGATGAAAGAGGGAGCTTCATGAACATCAGGACGCATGGGATGAGCAGAAAAAACACCGTCCTCAGTCGTCCATGACGGCAGCGGCCCCGGGGCGACACGGCGGTGTCGGTAGGCCCCCCGCGCCGCCCTATTCATAGCCCCGGGCGTGTCACCGCCGGAGGCGCAGAGCGGGCGGGTCTCGTCAATAGCCCCGGGCGGTCCGGTCACAGACGGGCGGAGACGAGCCGTCAGTGACCCGTCACCAGCAGACGGATATACGGGATACAGGTGCTGTATGAATGGCCCCGTGCTCAGCGCGCACGTCTGGGCGGTACAGGTAATATTGGCCGGTATTTGGACGATGCCGGCTCCGCAGGGCCCACTGGGAGGCATTGATGTATTGCGATAAGGCCGTTCGCGATGCGACGGACACGTTGATGCAGGGCTGCGGAGTCGGAGTCGGAGTCGGAGTCGGAGTCGGTCGGAGTCGACAGTTGTGACCGGAGTCGGAGTCGGAGTCGGAGTCGATTTTAGAAACCCGAGCCGGAGTCGGAGTCGGAGTCACCGAAAATCTGTCGACTCCGCAGCCCTGCTAGGTCTGCGGAGTCGGAGTTGGGAGTTGGAGTCGGTCGGAGTCGACAATTCTGCCCGGAGTCGGAGTCGGAGTCGGAGCTGGTTTTTGAAAGCCGGAGTCGGAGTCGGAGTCGGAGTCGCCGAAAATCCATCGACTCCGCAGCCCTGCGTTGATGTATGCTAATTTGGACTGGAGCTCGCCAGCTTGATCCCTGATCGATCTACCGAAATGAGCAGTATTCTGCCAATGGGTTCAGCGGGGTTGAACAAGTTACGTTAGCCTTTCATTGGAATGTTACCGTAAAACGGTCGTAAGCGCATACTCCTCGTATAGGGTATTGCCTCGATGCACAAATATGTCCCCCGTCGATAGCATGAGAGTGTGTGAGGAGACATGCCTGCGTAAGCCTGGAGAATCAGGGAACGGACCCGACATGGAGGCCAGTCTATATTTACGAGACTGTCTGGGATATAGAGGATTCTTCATGGCTCCGAGTGGAAGATAAGGATATCTTTTCCAAGCGGGTTACTGAAAAACCGAGCGACGAAGGAGCGAGGTTTTTCTGTAACACGCGAGGAAAAGATATCCGATCTTCCACGAGTGAGCCATGAGGAATCCTATATCTTTCTATGTTGAGGTTTATTCTTAATCAATTAAATATTATATTTAAATGCATTCATCGATGTAAAATAGATTCAGAGGAGTTTGTTCTTATTTCATAAGTTTCATCCATAAACAACCATTGAAAATGTCGTTCGGTTATTGACCCATCATCACATGAACTCTTGATTTTTCGCTATGAACCCTCGAGACCTTATCTTTGCATCTCAGAGGGATGCAGATATAACAAATTCTTATCTTTGCATCTCAGAGGAGTGCGAGATAGAAATATCCCTGCACTGTAGACCCAATGGCAAATAAACCTCAACTAGAAAGATATATAAGGAATACTCCGAACGAAATTACCGTCTGCCTCACTGAATACGATACCTATATAGGGCATGTGCGTCGTAAATGACGCAGGCTGATAAGGGGTAAAATGGACAAGACATCCTTGCCGCTAGCTAACATCGTAGACAGGCAATGCATTAGGTGCGTTGGCCGTCATGGAATTACAATGCGATGGTATACCTCTGAACATGACCTTCACACAGTCAAATACGTTTTATCTCGCCTCATTAGAACGCGTATCAATTATTGAACAAGGTCACTGTCCTGCATAAGTCGCTTAAACATGGATTAACAGTTCATAGCAATAGTTTTTCATGTCCTCGGGACAGTTGTTAATATTAATGCAGTGTAATATCCATGCTTACAGCTAGAGTAAATACGAGGTCATCGCTGCTTGGCCATGATCTATGCGGGTACGTGATTTGCAACGCACAGGCGCACGATAGGGACGATAGTAATGCGCATAGCATCCTGCGATAGCGCGTCCCTAGGTCCGATAGTCTATTGAGCTGTTCAGTCCACCGATATGGTCACGGGTTTATGCAGGTATCCAACAGATGAGCCAGATAGTCACGCATTCCTTCAAACGGACCTGCCTAAGACACATGCTCGCCCTGGCCAGAGCACTCGGGTGCGGCCGGCAGGGGCCACCCTACCTTCAAGCTAAGAGCACTCACCGATTTTGCCGAATGTGCGCCAGTTGACGCCGTCGGCGCCGCGAGCAACCAGCGAGAAGCCGATGGTGGCTCCGACGATGGTGTGTGTGCCCGAGATGGGCAGACGCAGGAACGTGGCCAGCAGGTTCCAGATGGCCGAGCCGCCTGCGGGGCGGGGAGGGAGGAGGTGTCAGAGACGGGAGGTGAAGAGGGGAGACGCTGCGGGCCTTATAAAGAAACATTTACAGAGATGTTTGTAATGAGTCTGAAAAAACAGCAACAGAACACCGTGATTAAAGAGACAGAATGGATGTAAAAATGCATTGAACGAAAACACCCGTGAAAAATCAGGCTGCAGAACAACTACGCAATTCGCATGTCCCTTGCCTCCAACCACCCCGAAAAAAATATATAAATAACGAATAAAAATGACACAGTCACCGACTCATATCAAATGTATAAAAACGACAGCTGGGCTGTCGTTATATCGTGTTCATCAGACAGTCGAACGACACGGCATTTAGCAGCTGATTGGCCGATAGCTGGCTGACTCGGCACATGTATCAGCCTGCGGGCAGGGCGGAACAGACTGACACGCAGACAGATACTGGCCTCGTGTCGGGTTAACACCGAATTCATCAGCGTTCGATCTATGACGTCCGATTCATGAGAGCCGGGCCAAAACTCGGCCGTTGCTAGGCCGTCTCGGAGGCCGTTTTGGCCAGCGATGAAAAGTCTGAGGCCGGTTTTACGTAACCACCAGCTGGTGCCTAGTCCTACTCATCGTAAAGGAACACTCGAACGAGTAGAAACAAACGAGCGAGATTTCAAGAAACTAGAATGATTATTTGAGGAAATAATAGCACCATCTACTATAATCCAACATGACTTGAAGATGCAACATTTACGAGCGAAGACTTAAAAGGCTGGGGAAGACCGCTAAGACAATAAAGTTGGCCCACAACACGGCATGCGCTCGTCACACCGGCTAAATTTGCTCCCATTACGGGTAGATCATGCCAGCTGTAGACTCACACCACGACCCGGCTGAAGTCAGCGGGTCCAGACGTGATGAAACGCCACCCAAACTATTAACCCGCGCCCGGCTGGGGGTCCTGGATTTCCACGCCCTGCTGGGGGGGGGGTGTTTGAACACCCCCCCTTCTAACTCGGCTCCTGGGCCACGTAGCGATACGCGGAAGGCGGCGTTCGAAAGAGCGTCAAAAATAATGAGGAAATCACTTCGGTCAATTTTTTGGTCAGGTCAAAGGTCAGGTCACCAGAGGTCATTGAAGGCAAATTTTCGCCGATTTCCAGGTCGAATGTCGAAAATTTCCAAGAAGCCAACGCATAACTCGGGAACCAATAGAGCTACAGCGCGGCGGAAAAGCGCATTCGATAGCCCTATTAACGCCCTTTCTGAGTAGTTCTCTCAGATTTGACCTAACGTCAACGGTTTTGCCTGCAGGGGGCAAAAACTGCAAAAATAGCCGATTTTTTCGGAAACAGTTTTTCTGCAATAACTTTTGACCCAAGCATTGTACGAGCTTACTTTTACCGGCATCGTGTTCCTCTCGTCAAGACGCATCGAACGAACTATAATTTGACCTTGAAAGGTCAACTTGAAAATTTGACCTCAGGTCAAGGTCATGACCTGACCGGAAAGGGTCATGTTGCATATCAGTCGATCCGTATCGTCGAGCTGAACACATCTAAGGCGTTTTCATCGCTCTAGCATGCCTCTATCAAAAGTTATTTGCGAAAAACTGTTAGATACCATTCGTGACCTAAGATGACCTCAGGGCATAAACAGGGGTCACAGACACCATTTTCATGTTCAGTGTGTCTAAACCACTTGTAATTCAGTGTTTGGGAGTGTTTATAATGTCTTTCGTCCAAAACAGGCGCATTTCAATTTTCTCCCATTGACTTATAATGGTGAGGTCGCAAAATTGACCTGACCTTAGGTCATCGATATCAAAATTCTGAGATAAACATTTTGTACATGCTAATGCTCTTAGCAATCGCTGAAAGTTTCAAAGCGATCGGTCACTCGGTGTAGCTATGACAGACATTGAAACTTTTTATGAGGTGAGGTCACTTCGAGTGACCTGGTGACCTGACCTTGAATGACCTTGGTCTGAAATTTTTACAACATGTGTAGAATTGATGTATGATAAGGTGTACCAAAAACGGCGGCGCCGTTTTTGAGTTATTCGCGAAAAACCTCAGGGGGGGGTGTTCAAACACCCCCCCCCCCCCCCCCAGCAGGGCGCGGGTTAATGTGTCGCCACCCGGGCTATTAAAAGCAGGGGATAAACTAATTAAATAAGACCAACGTGAGCCTTGCGGACCGTAATGACAATTTAGCCACAGCAGATGGGCGGTTGAGACCGGCTTCAATGCGGCGACCATATTCAGGCAGCTGAACTTCAATTTCACGTGAGTCCAGGTTATTGTAATAGTTTTCTTTCACTGCATACACAAAGAAGATGCATTGGAATCCTCACTCAAAAAGATAATTATATCACTTATTGCGTGCGAACTTGAACAATTACTATCGGTAGGCAATAGGCATTATAAAAAGCACGGCACTGATGCAAGTGCATTAGATCTCAATCAAATACAGTCTAGCTCGACATCACTATATGTAGGCGACAGTCGACAGCGTATCTGGGCTGGATATTGAGCATCCACGGGTTCGGGAAGCCTGCACTTTATCAAATACAGCAGGCAGGTCACATGAGCTGCATTGGAGACACGATGTGGGGAAATTTACGGCACCAATCAAACCTAATGACACATCGGAGCTTATGCAAGATGCGAAATGCAGTCAAATACTCTAATCAAAGATAAGAAACAGATCACAATTACCGGGGATTAGATGTGGCTGTCATTCGAGGTAGGCGTGCTGCCTGGATGCATTTCAAACAATTAGCCTAAACAACCAATAACTTGTTCGAATCAATTGCTACGTGACGGTGCACATTAGTCAATTAGCAGAGGCCATTCAGCGGCTAAAATTTCCGATCATGTTCATTGGTCAGTTGGAGATTTCCACTACTGTTGCACGAGCGAGTAGTTTTCCGATTACTCACGCCTTTTTATATTTGATTATCATGTAACACACATTTTATCTAGCAAAACAATAAATTTAACCTATCAGCTATTGTCTTTACTTCTCTTAACAAAAATGGAGCACGATACACTAAACCCGGGACCTTTTAAGTAAATCTGGGGACAACGAATTCCGTAACACCTACCTCACAATAACTCCCCATAAAGAAACACGTCAAGCCTTTTATCAGCTCTCACCAGCCCCTTCATTGTATGTGCTAATTCCTAGAATCTCGTACCCCTATAATGGAATTAGCGTGTAAGTCGGGATGTTTCGTGGGCGTCGATTTGTTTCCCAGTCCCAGCCAGGTGTCTCAATCCCCTTCCCTCGCGTCGAGCCCTACCATCGCCCGGCCGATCAAACGCCCCAAGTTTCTGGCCAGAATGTCAATAAGGATGACCCGTGCTCCGATCGGTCAGTGATCTGTAAGTGATAACGAAGTAGCGGCCCACTCCACACGGAGATCTGAGCGAGACTAAGGAATAAGAGCGTCCCCGCATTCTTCTGAACTCAGAGAACGGGTCAAACTGACGCAAATATCAGATGTTGACCTTTAGACTATCCCAGACTTCCGCGCTGTAGATTTCGAGTGAGCACGAGACTAGCAATTTAATCTCCCAGCCAGGAGCCTGAAACACCTTCCACCCTGCGCCGGGTGTGCCTGTCCACGTGACATCGAGTTGGAGCCGGCGTGAGGAGCACGAGACCGGCGACGGACCACCGCCAGAACACGAGGCCGGCGACTGACCGCCGCCAGATGACAGCCGATGACGGCACTGGATGCCGCGCCCTGGGCCGGCTGGCAGGTGGAGGTCAGAGGCGCCGAATGGGGTGACGCAGGCGGGGACCACCTATTCCGCTGCGCTCGCCGCTTATAGAAATGCTGAGTGGTGGGAGCGGACAGGTGTAGCCACGGACAATGAATAAGGGTGTCCGACAACAAAAGGCTCGGGTCAGTAAGCGTGTGTTATGTGGAGCAACCGTTACCATGGGTTGCTGGCGCTCGCCTCTGGCAGTTCGGTAATTGCGTAGCGACCGACTTCAACGACAATGACTTCCATGTTTTACCGTCATCTTGTTACCAACCGGTTTTGATGAAAGACGGCCGTGAAAGAAGAAACTCCGTGAGGCGATTAGCGTAGTGTAAAAAGCCCTCGTAACCCGTCGTTATTCTTGATGAATGGTGGAGCTACACAAGGTCGATTCAAAAGCCGTGTGGCTTCTTGTTGCCATCCCTTGGCTAGGCCAGGAACATCATTACAGGAAAAGGTGTAGATCTCAATAACACACCTAGTTGTTTAGATAATGTGATAGCTATGATCTAGATGTGATAACATCAGGGATGCGGAGCCGGAGCCGGAGCCGGAGCCGGAGCCGGAGCCGGAGCCGGAGCCGCCGGAGCCGGCATATTTTGCCCGGAGCCGGAGCCGGAGCCGTGAAACAATATAGCCCGGAGCCGGAGCCGGAGCCGGAGCCGCCAAAAAGGGGGCGACTCCGGCTCCTTTTTATTTTTTGAAGAGGAAAAAAATAATTGAACTAGTTCGGTTTGACAGTACAAGGCAGTAAAACATATCGTACTATTGGTCTCAATATAAGTGCCCAGGCGACCTGTAGTTTTGATGCGGTGAATACCCTCACCCTCGCCACAATGCGAGTGGGGGTGGCGCTGGCTGGGAGGAGGGGTGCACTCGGCCCGAGTTGTGGCGAGGGTAAGGGTATTCACCGCATCAAAACTACAGGTCGCCTGGGCCCTTATCTTGAGACCAATAGTACGTCATGGGCCATCAAGTGCATGAAAAAGCCGAATATCCCCAGTATCCCACAGTACGCAATCAACTTCCTGTCTGCTCCTCCCACCCCCCCCCCCCCTCACGTCTACTGCATCCCCAGAACATGAGGACCGGTCATCAGGTGACGGCCATTGTTTTGAAGCCAGTGCAGTGGACTGCGACTCCCAGCACCGTCTCTTCCCACCCACCCCCCCCCCCCACCCCCCAATGCAGCCGAGATGGGTGTCAGCTTACGATGGTTCAGTGAACTCCGATTCGCGGCGACTGCGTTTCCAATGCCATCGCTTCCTAGTCCTTTGTTCTGCCAGTTCTCTCCGAGGTGCGTTTGCGCGGGGACGCGGTGAGCCGGTCATGGCAAGAGTAGGTAACGCGTATAACCAATCCAATTTTTCTTCCACCCGTATTTAATTGATTGCATAGGGGATGTACTGAGTCGGAGCCGGAGCCGCCGGAGCCGGACCATTTTACTCGGAGCCGGAGCCGGAGCCGGAGCCGCCATAACATTTCACCCGGAGCCGGAGCCGGAGCCGATTTTTTTCTCCGGAGCCGGAGCCGGAGCCGGAGCCGTTTGAAATTTCCACGGCTCCGCATCCCTGGATAACATACATAATAATAATGTGGTATTCAAATAAACTAAGACGAAGAATAACCATCAACCTCGAGCAAAGCCAGAATTGAGTGAAATAGCGATATTATAGCAGCCTTTTGGTCCGACGAGTAAATGTGTGGTTATGCGTAGACGTGTGTAATTCTTAGTGCTCTGTTTTTCCTGTGATAAATGGTACACCAAAGTAGACTCCCGCTAACAGAAGAGCTAGTACGTGCACGCAGGTCACCGGAAGGCTAATCTTGGACGGCCTAATCAGGAAGGACGTGGGACGCGTGTCCATTAAGCCGGTTATAGAAACCGAAGGGCCGATTACGTGTAATTCTGGTAGAAGCCGGACATCGCAAGAAGACTACGGGAAATCTGTCCACTACGAACAATACCTATACATATTTCTGCACACATGCATGCATATGTTTGCAGATAAGATGTCCGCTAAATATTTTATCGGAGCATTCAATCACATTCAGCCAAGCTCTACCCGGCCCCGCCAGTAGCGGCGGAGCACCTTCAATTAGGTGTGTGTGTGTGGGGGGGGGGGGGGCACTGCCGACTTTTGGTCCCATTCTTTTCATGCAACGCCCATAGGGATAATGTTAAAATGCCAAAATCAAAGGGGGCACGGTGCCCTCCCCGTTCCGCCGCCTATGGGCCCCGCGGGTGGAAAAACGCATAACCCACAAGTGAAGCGTGTGAACAATATGTATTATCAATAAAACAGGCATCAGGTTGGTTCTGTCAACGCCAGTAGCGCGTTTATATAAGAACATGGTGCAGACTGGATTTTTCTAGCAATGTCCTGCCAAATCTGACAGACCCCATGCCGACGCATGCCGATGAACCAGAGCTGATCGGATCAGGCAGCTCTGGGAAAAGCAAAACTAGGTATAGTTCCTAATTGGTGACGTTTGTCACCGCGTGGTGACGTATAGCGATTAACTGCGGCCACGTCGACTGTTGAAGATTTCCTTGAAATATTTGCCGGTCCAAAAAGATTCGGAAAGCAATTTAATTTGTCAAGCAAGAAATCCCAATGTTAGGTACAAAAAAAAACTTAAAGTACGTTACGAAATCACTAACAAACGAGAAAAAAGAAAGAACAAAAGAAAGGGGGAAGTCGCAAACTGAAGAGAGACAATAAGTGTTCATGAACGAATGGTTTTGAGCTGCGTGAGCTTCTATTATCCGAATGGTATCTTGAAACCCCTTCCCACATCTCAATGCGCTCTGCGGGGGACACCTGATACCCGCCACCCACTAGTGACGTCACACCCACTACCCACTGTCCACCAGTGACGTCACGACAGTCCACCAGTGGCGTCACGACAGTCCACCAGTGACGTCACCACCGTCCACCAGCGCGGCGGCGCAGTTCAGTTGTTATTGACACGGCGCCTGGCACCGCTCCCGGCGTCTGTGCGACAGCCTATCTCACACCACACGCCGCGGAGAAACCGAATATGTCGCCCGAGCCGGGGTCTGGATATACAGAGCGGGTGCTGGCGAGACCAGATGAATGGCAGGTGTGCCCGGCTGCAATGTTGCATGTAAACAGAACGCTCGTCCGATAGGGCGCCGGCGGCAGACGCGCCGGGGTACGGGGAGGGGGGGCAGAGGAGGGGCTGAAGGGTTACTCCCACCGTGCCCGTGCCGCCCCCCCCCCCCTATCCGGGGTTCGTTAGCTAGACACTGACAGGAGACAGCGCCGGTGCCATTGATGCTCTTGGGTGTCGGAAAATACGCAACTCTAACTTTGTAAGTTTATTAACCCGCGCCCGGCTGGGGGTCCTGGATTTCCACGCCCTGCTGGGGGGGGGGGGTGTTTGAACACCCCCCCTTCTAACTCGGCTCCTGGGCCACGTAGCGATACGCGGAAGGCGGCGTTCGAAAGAGCGTCAAAAATAATGACGAAATCACTTCGGTCAATTTTTTGGTCAGGTCAAAGGTCAGGTCACCAGAGGTCATTGAAGGCAAAATTTCGCCGATTTCCAGGTCGAATGTCGACAATTTCCAAGAACCCAACGCATAACTCGGGAACCAATAGAGCTACAGCGCGGCGGAAAAGCGCATTCGATAGCCCTATTAACGCCCTTTCTGAGTAATTCTCTCAGATTTCGTCTAACGTCAACGGTTTTGCCTGCAGGGGGCAAAAACTGCAAAAATAGCCGATTTTTTTCGGAAACAGTTTTTCTGCAATAACTTTTGACCCAAGCCTTGTACGAGCTTACTTTTACCGGCATCGTGTTCCTCTTGTCAAGACGCATCGAATGAACTATAACTTGACCTTGAAAGGTCAACTTGAAAATTTGACCTCAGGTCAAGGTCATGACCTGACCGGAAAGGGTCATGTTGCATATCAGTCGATCCGTATCGTCGAGCTGAACACATCTAAGGCGTTTTCATCGCTCTAGCATGCCTCTATCAAAAGTTATTTGCGAAAAACTGTTAGATACCATTCGTGACCTAAGATGACCTCAGGGCATAAACAGGGGTCACGGACACCATTTTCATGTTCAGTGTGTCTAAACCACTTGTAATTCAGTGTTTGGGAGTGTTTATAATGTCTTTCGTTCAAAGGAGGCGCATTTCAATTTTCTCCCATTGACTTATAATGGGGAGGTCGCAAAATTGACCTGACCTTAGGTCATCGATATCAAAATTCTGAGATATACATTTTGTACATGCTATTGCTCTTAGCAATCGCTGAAAGTTTCAAAGCGATCGGTCACTCGGTGTAGCTATGACAGGCATTGAAACTTTTTATGAGGTGAGGTCACTTCAAGTGACCTGGTGACCTGACCTTGAATGACCTTGGTCTGAAATTTTCACAACATGTGTAGAATTGATGTATGATAAGGTGTACCAAAAACGGCGGCGCTCCGCGCCGCCGTTTTTGAGATATTCGCGAAAAACCACAAGGGGGGGTGTTCAAACACCCCCCCCCCCCCAGCAGGGCGCGGGTTAAAGGGACCCTCCCACCTTCAAAAAAGTTTATGAATTGGCATGAAAGTGATGTCGCTCGGTTCAGAAAGAGCGAAAACGAATATCTACCAAATTTCACCGAAAAATATTCACCGGTTTACAAGATATTAGACTTTTACTTTTGTTTACTTTTTGGGATCTCCGCTGTTCCTAGCGACTTTATTTGGAAGCAATAGTTTGGCAGCTGAAAGTGCGGCACTTGTTGCGCGCAAAGCAGCATATACCACCGCGTGCTACAAAACGTTTTAGTCAAACATTCAAAAATCGTTAGATTTCTGAGCTGACGTCACACATTCAGAGGGGTATTCCTATGCATTAGCCCCTCTGAATCAAAATGCTGCAATTTTGAAATTCAATATTTCCGATTTAAGGCATTTCTCGACGTTGTGAGTGCCGAAACCGGTAATTGTGAGCCAGGGACCCCATTTCGGCTATCTCAACTCAAATCTAATGTTAAGGTGGGAGGGTCCCTTTAAGTGCTGCATCGTAGTCGTTCTTGCTTCTTATTAATCTTACCGTGGGACAGACAGACCAAATAGCATATCTCGGACAAGCGCAGATAAATTTCCTATGAGCTACATCAAGCCCATTCATCGGTAACTTCAAAAGATCGTCCGTAACGTAGCATCGAACGACTTACCTAGAGCAGCCAGTGAGCCCAGCATCAGTTCCTTCTCGTTGTTCTGGTACAGACCGACGTCCAGGATTCCTTTCCTCATTGTTTCCGACACTTTGTACCCTGCGGACAGACAAACAGGTTAGAAACACATCGACCGAGAGAGCGGTCGGAAACTTTTATTGACGGGAACTATGCTAATTGGAGCTCAAACGACCGGGAAGGTCACGCCAAGGTAAAATACTAAGATGGCTATGGAACCAAAACAGTCTATTTAGCGTACAAGTGAGACGACATCCATTGCTAGAAAAGAATCCAAGGTCAACACATTAGCACCAGCTTGAATGAATTTAAAGGTATATGACATACACGCAAGCTAAAATTCAAGTCATTGATAATAACTCGCAATCAATCACCAAATAACAACAGTTTACAAATCGCCATCCAGAACAAAAAGAGAAAAACAATAGAATTGCTATCATTCGTTAAAACGAAAAGAAAAACATTACCATTTACCGCGCCATACAATCTCACATAAAAAACAATCTGGCGCATGTCACTTAGCGCCAGTTTTATGGCGCGCCACCTTTCACCATGCCTTCTAACCTGACCCGTGCCTACCGCCTGGGGCGACAGAAGGTCGGTGCCGCGGTTAGAACAAACGATCGGGAGACTGGGAGCCGGGGTGACGGGGTACGACACGGCTCTCCTGCCCGGCTGGGCGCGAGCCAACAGACGCATCCGCCCGACACCACAGACGGTCTTCTTACGTTCAACATCGGTATGTACGGCAGATTTACGATGGAATGTCAGCGGTGAACTAAAGCAGAGTTCACCTGGGGTAGTGGCGCAACGTTTTCCCGTTTTTTTTTTTTTTTGGCAAGCGCTCCGAAAGGTTTCAGCTAGAAAAAAATACATCTTTTTTAATTCATAAGGTTTCAGGAAGGTCTAATACAATTTCAAAGTCGTTATGACATAAGAAAATCAATCGATCACGCCGAAATCCAAGATCATGTTTCAAAAACGGGATGAACATCTCGCTAAGCATGAGCGACGCATGCATGTCGACACTAGTTTATATCAACAGAGGCTTTCCAGCGTAGCACGACATTGATTTCGACATAAACCAGAGGCTACAGGCGCTTTAAAGAACTGAATTTGTGCATCAGCAAACTCAGATATTTGCAATACAGACTTATTGGAATCGGAGCTTAGGGGTCGAATTATGCAATCAAATTGTGTTTCGCATATTCATGTACCTACTTTTTTTCTTTTTACCAGAGCCCAACTCATGAAGGTAACAACAAGCAAAGTGACAAAAAAAAAATGCGTTTTGATTTGAACGCTTTGGCATCCAAATCGTGAGCATTTCTTTGAATAATCCACGCAGAGCCTTTGGGTACGGGCAGACCCAGTTTGTCCAGCCTTAGCGCTGATGCTCTCAAACCCGTGGCAGTCATGTTGTACTCTGGACTACACCGCCCATGACCTCACTGATTCATAAACAGGGAAGAAGGCTTCACACAGGAATGCAACATGTGCTCAGCTACACGTGGCAGAGTACAAGCTCGACTAAGAACAAAATGACGCAAATTGTGTGCAATTTCTAACGCTGGTAAATCGAAAATAGTTTACCGAGCTGGACCTTGACGAGAATTCGACATTCGGGCAGGTTATGAAGATAGCTTTCAGAAGTCCATGTAAACGGTCCGCACTTACCGAGAAGCCAGCCACGTTCCGGGCTCGGAGTATGCTGGGTCCTTCACAGGTTTATGGGAACTTGGGTATTCAGTACGAGGTCTCCGGCTTTCGGCCAAGGGGCACGGTCCTCGGCTCATACGGCGCCTAATTGGTTCGGGCACTTAGGGTCGGAGATCACTACAGCCATAGTAAATTGGACTGGATGGTATATTATTTAGGCCATCATTACATTTAGGCATATTTAGGCCTATTCACCATAAGCGGCGGTTTAATTTGGCACGCCTAATAAGATTAAAATTCTCAAGACTTGGAAATCAGTGTGATGCAATTTTCAAAAACGGTAACACTTCAGCAGAAGGAGTTGTGAAGAAATCGAAAACAATAATATCAGGGGGCAGTAATCGCCACGCCATGTGTGGATCGCCCACGATCGTAAATACAATATTATACAATCAAATACAAAAACCAGTAAAACGCCTTATGGGCGAAGAACGAGCGAGCGAGATAGTGAGCCCTGCACGTGCGGAAAGGCGAGAGGGTACTTCCAACGGGCTTGTGCAAAGCACCCTTCTAACCGGTCGCTAGCGGTGTGCCAAATTTGAACGCAATCGGCCCAGCCGTTCCTGAGATCTGGAAGCGGCATTCTGCACGTGCGCACGTGCAAAGGGGGTCCAAACTGACTTTTGCACGGCACCCTACTAACTGGTCCCCAACCGTGTACCAAATTTGAGCGCAATCGGCCCAGCCGTTCTCGAGATCTGGGAGCGCCCCCTGCACGTGCGCACGTGCAGTAGCACCCTAACCGCAGCACATGGGAATTCATTGCCTGGTGAGTGCCGACCTGTATGCCAAGTTTCAGCGAAATCGCCCCAGCAATTACCGAGTTATTGAAATGGGAACAAATTTGGCACCTCTTCTTTTTGCATTTTGCACGTGCAGTGGGGGTCACTCACATAGATCAAGAGTATCCGACCTTTGGTAGAAGGGATGCAGCTACCCTATAAAAATTACCGCAAGACAATCGTCCAAGCGGCTGCTGAGACATGAGCCTCTCAAAATCACTACTTTTGCAAAACAGCTTGAACACCCTTGGCTTTTCACGTGGCACGTGCCACGACGGTCACTGAGATGTGTCAAGAGTAGTCAATTACGGGGTAGAAGGGATGGGGCTACCCAGCAAAAAAGACCGCAGGCCAATCGGTTCAGCGGTTGCTGAGATATAAGCCTCTCAAAAGCGTTACAGGCCGGGCCGGGCCGGGCCGGGCCGCTCATACTGAGATTTTTCCGTAATATTGAAAAGACTCGCTTCGCTCGCTGCGCTCGCTCGCTCGTAATAAAGACGCATGTCTGTCCCAAACTTATCACTTTACCGATCAATTTGAAGGACTGCAACGTTTAGAAACGCCTGCTCTTTGAGCACCGGTCTCAAGTTCACTGATGTGACAAAAAGGCCACCATTAAGCTACCTCACGTCCGTGCTAAAAACAAACTGACCTTTACGACGTCCCCTAAGTGCAGCTGTCTACTGTCATTAGTCACGGTCTTCATTCTCCAAATACTCACGCAGTATCCTCCAACTGCCTGGTCAGAAGGTCTGACCCGCGGGGACTGACTGACCTATTAGTATGGCGCCGGCCACTTCGAAAATTGTCGCCAGGATGCAGGCCGTCCTCAGGGAGAGCGCCCGCGAGCCCACCGACGTGCCGAAGCTGTTGGCCACATCGTTGGCTCCGACGCCGAACGCCAGCAGGAACGAGACGACGAAGGCGACGACGACGATCCAGATCACCTCGGACGACCACGGCTCCATGGCGGTGACTTCAGAGACAGGCGCGGAGAGAGGACAGACGGTGAGCCGGGCTCGGTGTTCAGCTACAGGTGACCGCTGGCGGCGCAGGGTGTATCAGAGACTCGCGGTCTGCTGCAGCGGGCGGGTCTCGGTGGTCACGGCACAGCTCTGCATCGTCAGGTCCTAGGCAGTTCCCCACCGCCTTCCCCCAGATCAGCGCTGAGGTGTGGCTGCAGCGATCTCGCGGAGATGAGATCTTCTGAGGACGATTGTCGGCTGATGACGCCGAAGACGGCTGGGTCCTGGCCTGGGCTGGGTTCTGTAGGCTGGGCTCGCTCTAGCCACCTGGAACAGAAGACGGGGAGGGGACACCTGAGCAACCCCCGGCACTCACCGATCAGCATCGCTCCCAGCATCTCTCCGATGGTCGCTATGATGCACGCGTTCCGCAGCGTGATGGCCTTGGCGCCCACGCTCGTGCCGAACACGTTGGCCACATCATTGGCGCCGATGCCGAAGGCAAGGGTGAACGCCACAAGGAACGACGTCACCACCAGCCAGACGAGGCTCGGGTCGTACGGAACGACATCGGACGTGACGTCCGGCGCCACCGAGGGTAGTGCGGAGGTGACGGTCGTCACGGCCTCGGTGACGGCCTCTGTGACGACCTCAGTGACGGCGCTGACAGCCTGTGTCACGGCGGAGGCCATGGCGGCGTGCGCGGGTCGGCGGCAAGTGCGGGTCTCCGGCGGCCGCGCCGGCCGCGCGAGACACCATCCCGAGCGGCCCGTGACGTCAGCAGCCTGTAGCCGGCGGCGGGAGGGCCGGCCTACCGCGGGCGGCACAGGGTATCGGTCTGGGTGGTTCAAAGGGCCGGGTACTGGACTGGGTGGTTCAAAGGACCGGGTACTGGACTGGGCGGCACAAAGGATATAAGCAAGGTCAACCCTAACTGAGAAACGAGTCTTAACTCTATGTAAGGCTCACGCATTGAAGCATTGTAATGTGCTCAATCCATAACCAATATTCAATCATATCCAAACTGATTCCAATCCATACCCATACCGACCAGTGCGTACCTACATACATCCAAGCAGATTGCACAGTCCACACTTATTGACCATGCAGGATAAGCGAAACCCACGCAGGATAGGCGAAAAGCGACCTGCCTGCGCAACTTCCTTCCCTTATCGCATTTAATCAACGCAGCCTGGCGTGGGAGCAGATATTGAAAATTTGCCGGCCAGCCCTGCAGGACGGCAGAAGCGAACTGCTGGTCGGCGCAGAACGCTCATGAAAACGGCCATTCAATAGCAATGGCAGCCGCATGGCCTGCAGACGAGCTTCGTGTGAGACAGCAATGTTTAAACCACACAAACCGTATGAGAGAAAATGAAGTGTCCAGAATACAGTTCTTTAAAATGAAATTAGTGTTTCAATAAAATCCCACTCCACAAAAGCCAAACGCCACTAAAAGCGAGGCATGTTTCCTTGAGCCACTCTCAGGCCTAAATTAACTACATACTACATAGCTGTATAAATTAGCGTAATTTAAGAGGGGGCTTCATTAGGGCCCATGCTGGATCTAAAATTAGAGCCAGAAACCAGCCAGAAAGCAGAAAACAGAAGCCAGAAAGCAACGTCGCGAATGTATGATTTACCTGAGAGAATAATGGGCTTGCGTTTACCATCCGCGAAGCCACTGGGAGTCAATTCCGTAACTTAAAGATTGCTACTGATCAAAGGAAACCCTGCACGCACTTCGGATTTCAGAACAAGTAGAACAGGCGGCCCGAACTCCGAGGCACAGTGAATGGCATCAACCAATATCATTCGACGATCTCAAAAGTCTGATTCCACTTCACGACTGAAGTGTAGAATGTGGATCAAGAACCAAGGTCAACAGCATGTCTTCATTAACTCCCATGTCTCACATAGCTGCATAGCTAACTACACATATCTGTCCTAATTGTGATATCTCGGCGGCGCGGTCGGCGGCTACACGACCGAGCAATGTCATCCGTCATGAGTGGCTGCCTCCCTGACACATCATCGCTGGGCGCCGCGCCGGTCGCCGGGCCCAGTTTACCTTGGCAGTGACACCCAGGTCACGTGACCGGCCACGTCACCGTCCGGCCGCAATGGTCCGACCTTGATCGCCGTCGCCGACGACCCAGGGGCCGGCTGGCGTGAGCTGCGGATGACCCGTGATTGATTCGTGCACGGCCCACGGCCATTCAGAGCGAGCCTCAAGTTAGAACATGGCAAAATGAGTTCGAGCTATAGCCTATAGGTAGGTCTAGAAACTGCACCACTCCTGTATAAAAGTCAACAGGGCTTCTATGAAAAATGTCGGAAAATTGAAGAAAAAATTAAATAGGGCAAGTCAGAAAGTAAAAGGTAGATCGGAAAACAATCATGGGTCCTTCGAATACGTAGCACTGGCAAAGTGCAGCCTTCGGAAAAACTAATGCAAGTAAATTAAAGGCGACACACGAGACCGTACACCTATTACTAATAGTCCGCCAAGCGAGCAGCTTCGGAGACCTTGGGCTCTCGAGCACGTTTCAGCGACGGCGGTCGCTTCTAATCTGGTCTGTTCTCGTCAATGGCAGCACAGAATCAATACACTGTTCACTGACCGCGACAGGAACTGAACCGTACTGTGACACTTATCTCATCAGTTCCCGAATTTAACGGCCTTTTCTCAACCCTGGAGACACGACTGCAGAGCCATCTGAGCAGTAGCGACAAATCGATCCTCCAGGGTCCTCCTCCGCATACTCGTTATTTACAGACCATCCAGCCTACCTTCCCTACTGTGACGGCACCGTCACGAGGCTGCAGAAGAAGGTGTGACTCGTGACAGACGAATGGCGTGATGTAACATGTGACTGTGACGAGTGGGATGTGTCACAGGACACCAGCGCAGAGTGATGTCCTAACATCTGGCTGGCTCGGCATGTGCGGCCTGAACAGAGCCGTGCACATGAAGCAATGATGTCAGGCGGTTTGAACGCGATTCGAGCAACTGGCCCGGGTGACAGAGAAAAAATATACGGACTGGCTGACGGATTGGATGTTTTAGCGAGCGGGTTAAACAGTTAAGAGTCCGGCCAATTAATAAGTGATTCCGAGGCAAGGGTTATCTCATAGCGAGTGATTTCGTAGACCTTTTAGGATCCCATTTCCAGACTTCCCAGACCAAAGGAGCGGAAGAGTTCCAGCCCAGTTTGTAACAGGCCACGAATAGAAAATCAGAACGGGCAGAGGAATCACCTCTCGCCATCCATCTGTTCGCGGTCACGTGGGTCATTCCGGCCCAGCCCCACCCCTCCCCTCCCAGAGCCACGCCACCCTGCCCGCAGTGCAGGGCCTGTTTAGTTCGGCATCACGCCGGGCCGCGGAGCCAGTGTCACGTGCTATAGGGGTCGCGCCTGCGCAGTCCAGCGCCAGCGCGACCCACACCCGTCGCGCCGGCTGCCAGGGGCGGGGAAGGGGAGGAGAGGGGTTGGCTGGGCGCCCGTCACATGGTGTCGGCGTGGCGCGCCCCGCCCCCGCCCCTCCCAGTTTATCATACCCCTGACAGAAAGGCGCTACCGGCAGAGGGGATAGATACGCCAGTCGCCCATTGCCAATATTTTTGCCTTCTAAGCTCGTGAAGTGTGACCTCCTTCGAGCAAAAATGACCCCCTAATTTGATCATAGTTGGACTTCAACCATCTTTATACCTGTTCGCAATGACAAATTCACAAATACAAAATGGACAAAATCATAAGCAAATGTAGGACTGTCCGGTGATTTCAAGTTACTGCCTTGCAATCACTGAAATGCCATAATTTAAATAAATGTTCAGAGGGTCACCAGCCAACCAGCACGTATCTATGGGTCAGAGCCGCACACACCCTGGATTGATGGCAGCGAATCACGCGTAATATTGCTGCAACACCGGCAAATGGACATGTGGGCGGAAAACGCGCACGTACTGCCCACTATTCTGCATTAGCTGCAGCACCCAGTGCAGCGGACGTGCGAGCCAGAGTATCTCTATTTATACTGGCCACCACCGCTGAACGAAAATCAGGCTACGAGTTACGACTGGACAAGCCTCCAGACCTTCGCCTCTACCATTTGAGCACATGCACCTCTATCCCCGAGTCGTTAGACAGCATGCTCCCAGACGCCAACACCTGGGGAGAACTTTAACAGCCCAGCCACCAGCTGTTATGGAGGTCGGAGCCCGGAACAGGGCCTGTCCCCAGCCGACGATCGACCGTGACACTTGGACACAGCCGAGTAGCAGGCGGCTTTGCTTCGGGTTCAACGAACACGTAGAGAGCTCCCAAGGCAAGGTGACGACGCTGTCGCTGCCGGCCTCTGGTGTATAAAGAGGAAGTTGTGAACAAATCACAAGTGGTCTATGCACCATGAGCTGAGAGGCCTATTTACGGAACCAGTGAGAAGTTGAGCCAGCGTTGCGCCACTCCGATCAGAAGTGTTGATGCTAACTCGATGTGACGACTCAGTGCCGGCTCAGCGCGGCGGCGATCACCCGCAACTCCGATTTCACTCCATAGATGGCACTAGTGGTCGGCGCCTGAACGCATACTGCACCGCATAACCTGACCGAATCGACGGCGCGGCAGGAGACCCAAGGACGCTGAACGTCGCGACTTTCGCGACTTTCTGCGAGTGAGGCGGAATGTGCGGTGTTGGGTGGATACGGGAAAGGGCATCAACGACTGAAAATGCACTGTTAGTTAGTTGTGGCCGCAATAGCCAGCATTCTCCACTTACAGCAATGCTGAGAAACAAGTGCTAGGGCCACAATGTTGTACGATTACATAAAGAATATATTTCCAAAATAAAACTGCACAGTGTTTTACTATCGACACCGTGTCCGCCCTAACATACCAGCCGATGCGTCATTCCAACTACCGAGAGAAGCTGCCTGGTGGCGATAAGGCAATGACGGGTTGTAGCGGCGCCCGTCCATCCAAACAGGGTACTTTATCCCGGCAGGACTGGCGGGCCTCTGAGCGCCGAGCACTCCAAACACCCGTGCACGGGGGCAGACGGGGCGGGGTGAGGGGTGGGCGAGGGGCGGGGCGGTCCCGTGAACCCGACCCCGCCCCTCCCGGCTGGACAGAGGAGCGCCCGTCCCAGACCAGACTCCTTCCACTGTCACTGGCCCTAGACCCACTGCGTCCCCCTGTGAGCTGTGCTCATATGTGACCAGACATAGCCCGGGAAATCAGCGGTGCTAGTTGTCCGGGGAGGCAGAGAGAGCTTTGGAGCGTTAAGGGGCATTGTTCCTCATCTGAAAATTGATCTAAGTCTCCTTA